AAACATTATAACTCATTTTCCTTTGCCCGATAAATCCTTGATATATTTTTTTCAATTCACTTTAACAAGAAGGTACTCTATTCGGTTTTTTTTTTAAAGTTTGTTACGTCATAACTCCGTCAGTTGTAAACTGATTTGGAAACATTCTTTTTTTTTAAATGAAAGGAATATACTTATAGATTGGTTTCATAGAAATTTTATCAAAATCGGTCTAATAGTTTAGTTTACAAATCAAAATAACTGATTTCTTACCACAATTGTAGTCGGCTGTTTTTTTTTTGTTTCTGAAACATAATCTCATGTTATTTTGCATTATTATTTTTTCGTACACAAAAAACTATAAAGTACAATGTGATAAATCGTATTTTAATAATATTCGCTATAATAAAGTTACTTTGCAATTATTTACAGACTAAGGTTGCTAAGTTCCTTATCTGAGCAATCAGTACTTTAGTACTGTTACTTACTACCTGAATTTCTCTACTTTATCCGCGTGGATCATTACTTAAAGTAGCCTATATGCTAAGTTAGGATATAACCTATCCGTGTACCAGATTTTATTTAAATACGTTCAGTAGGTTTTGCGTGAAAGAGTAATAAACATGCATTAATATATACATTATATTATAAGTACTTAGATGTACTCGTATCTATGTTTATTTGCATATGTTTTTTTAACACGAGCGTCTTTTTTTTATTAGATATACTTCTTGTACCAAATAATTACCGCTTTTTTCTTTCCTCCTCTATTCGAAGGTTGTCTGAAAGTGATTGCTTTAGCGATAAGACCGCATTTTATACTTCATATGTGTATATATATATATATATATATATATATATATATATATATATATATATATATATATATATATATATATATATATCATATATATAATAATATCTTTAAATGGAAAAATGAATAATAAATAAATTTATCTGTCCTTACAAACTTTCACATATATGATATTAAAAAATAGGATACTGCGATATTATAAGTGCTGTTAAACTGAGTAGTCAATGATTATAAATTAAGAAGATGGATTTTTTTAATGGCGGTTAGTGTACACTGGTACACTGAGTTTGGGATCAAAGGGTATTTATAGCTTTTTTTTTTAATTACAAATTATCATCAACTAAAAAAAAAAACCAATACTTTATCTCTTTTGCGATCGTGTTGCGTACACAATTTTTTTTAATACGATCAGAAAAAAATTGCACGCCCAATACATTACGTAATAGGTAATATTTTTTGTGAGTCCAATCAATTTTGAACCTAATACCGCAATAGAATTAAGTTGAAAATAAAAAAGTATTTTTAGTTGCTTCTTGAATGTAAACACTACATAGCAACCTTGGAAATTGAATATAGTTTTCATCACGATACATAGTAATTGCCTTAAGTAAACTAAATAATTAATTTTAAACCGACTTCAAAAAAGAAAGAGGTTCTCAATTCGGTTGTATTTATGTTTGTTACCTCATAACTCTGTCAATTGTCAACTAATATGGAAAGTTCTTTTTTTACCTGAAAGTATATACTTACAAATTGGTTCTATAAAGTTTTTTTTTTTCAAAATCACTCCATTACTTTAGTTTGTAGATCAAAATAACTGGTTTTGACACAATTAAAGATGTTTTTTTTTTTTGGGAATCTTTATTTTTAAAATGTATAGTTTAAGTATTATATGAGAAATACTGAGACAAACAAACAGACAAACCCACGACTTCTGTGTAACAGAGATGTATTGGTTGATAGAATAAAAATTGGCCTGTACCGTTCATCGTCATACACACTTTGTACCTTTTTTTTATGCAACTTAGAATGGCAATCAAGCTGACGGCCCACCTGATGGAAAGTGATAACCGTCACCTATAGACATGAGCAGTACCATAGACATTAAACCGTCGCCTATAGACATGAGTACTGCTCATGTATCGTGGACATACTGTTATGTGAACAGAGTATACTGTTTCGTCCATGATACCCCCCATACGTTATCAGTCCTGAGGACTCAGGTATTATTCCTTTGTACTCTGTAAATTCATTGCCATATCCCATATCTTCAAACTGAAACACAGCCATGCAAACACAACTGCTTCACAGTAGAAACACGAATGGGACAGAGGTGCCTAAGCAATCGACTTTTGTACAAAGTCTCCTTCTGGTTTATAGTTTTTTAATGCGTTATATACCTTTTTAATATATTATATATTTTATAGTTATTTATTACATGATATCAGTCAGACAAATTCGCGGGCAACAATATGTACATTCACTTGACCTCGATCTACAAAACTATTTCTGATATATAAATACGCTTGCAGAAATCTTAACTTTAAAATAAATAAAAAAATATCTAAAATACATTATTTTTATAACTGTGTACACATAATTTTTTTTTTGCAATTATTCTCCCAACTTGAAAGAATGAATTAATTTCATTATTGAGCTTCTTGTTATTATATAATTCTTTATTACATTTACAATTGAGTTGCGTACACAATTTTTTTATTCGATCAGCACAAAAATTTGCAAAAATTAGATAATAGGTAGTATTTTTTTATAAGTCCAATCAACTTTGAACTTAATACGCAATAGGATTAAGTTGAAAACAAAAAAGTATTTTTTACTCGCTTCTTAGAGCTACTTATAATTATAGATACAATAATTAATTTATTTATGTTGCATTTGTGTAACATAATGTTTAAAAAAATCATATCAACAGATAATTTTAAACTTATCTATTTATTTATTTTTTTATCAAAAATCTTTTTTCGTTGATAATTATTAATAGAAAAACATGTAATAATCTATATCAAGTTATCACCGCAGTAAAGATAAAAATAAAAAATTCATAATTAGTCCGAAGCAAAAAAAAAGGTAATGTGCCACAAATTAACCTTAAGATAAATTAAATATGTCTTTCCGTAACATATAACTTTGTAACGACGTAAAAAGTACACATTTTAATTATGTAAGTATATTTTTTTAAGTGGCAATCAAAAATTGTTACCGAGCGTCGCGTGAGGCGTTTTAAGTAAAACATTATGAGGTTTCTTAAATAAATTACAAATCGTTTATTGGAAATATTAATTTATTGGAAGTTTATTATAAAGAGCCAACAATTGTTATTCAGTATTTAAATTGTCATTTTTTAAATTATTATTTATAACGACTTATTAGCATTTGGAACAAAATTTCACCGAAAACAGCATAAGTTTTGAAAAATTAAGTAAAATAATATATTTTACAAAATTAATATGGAATCAAAACAAGAGTAGATTATGTTGATTTCAAAATTATCATCTTAATTATATCAGATTGACGAAGATACACTTAATATAAATATATACAAAAAATGCAAGCAAATTGGAAACTTTTTGAAGTCTTTTTACAAAATTAAACAATAAACAATATATGTATATTACTGATACACTAGATACGTGGATAACACTAGACACGTTATTTTGCGCCATCTAGTTTCAAACTGTGTAGACCTTGTACTAGTATTCAAATAGGCAACTGATATACATACATACTTAATTTTTTTTTTTAAATACTATTGTTAGATATACATAAAAAACACTTGAATCAAGAAAAACTTATGAATACAAATGTTTGTATTATGCGAAGATCGAACCCACGCCCGTCGGTACAGCGATGAAGTAAGCAGTCTTTACCTCCCTTTGTGTGTTCTACCGCTTGTATAACGGATTATGTTCTGAGGAATTGTTTAAAATGATGCCCACAGTCATCTTTTATCATCACACTGCTTGCCATTGACAGGGAACTCATCCTAACATGCTTGAACCTAAATAGTCACGTACAGTGCGGTTTTAAAGGAATTTGCTCCCACGAACGCTAAGACTGAGACGGAATGAGCTCCCTACCGAGGTTTTCCCTAAAGACTACAGTATGGAGTTATAAACGGGTATATTAAGGTTTCTTCAGAGTTGAGAACCCCCTAATTTTGCAGGTGTTCATAGGCTACAGTGACCATTTATCATCTGATAAACTGTATGCTCATTTGCCACCTTTGTGATATAAAAGAAAATATGAATCAAATCACTACACTAACAAGGTTGTTATATATATTGTAGCCACTCCGAATAAATAAATATTCCTTTTGTAAATATTTTAACCTTTAATAAAACGGAACGTTCCCTTGTTGTTAGGGAAAATTAAATGCTTCCTGTATTAAGAAGCCTTATTATGTTATATTCTATCTTGTTTAGCGCATTCATTTCTATCTATTCTAATTATTGCCAATTATCGCACGTACAAGGACATTGCGAACATCCCATTGTGTCGCAGCAAACGGCTGGAATAAGTCACAAGCGACCAGCGGATAAATAAATATTCTGTCATAAATTATGGTTATTGTCGTGGAGTATTTTGTTTCTGATGACAAATCTACAGTCATTTACTCGAAGAAGACTTTGTACAAATGTCGTTTGCCTGAGATCTCTATTCTGGTCCTTTTTTCTGCAGAGAAGCAACTGTACTTGCATGAGAATTATGAGATACGGCAGCATAGTCCTCTGGTAGCGCGTCTTATATGATTTTCATGGTGTTATTCGTGTCGTGACAGGCAACGCTATTTTCCATCAAGTGGGCCGTCTGTTTGTTTGCCATTTAAAGTAATATAAAAAAAATCTAACAGATTAGGTATCTATTTATGTAACGTTTAATGACTAAAGTCCACCAGTATTTAAAATATTCGTTTAAGTATCAAATTTTTTTAAACCTTAGATTAACTATCATCAATAGCACGCTTAAATTTTTCTTGGTCAGTTTTCAGTAACGATTTCTCAATCTCAACTGTTTTTACGTGATATCTTCTCCAAATGTGAATCGATTTTGATGGTTCTTTCCCAAATTTAATACTATACTAATTTAATTAAGGTTAAAGACGTTTTTATTATTTTATTTATGAAAATTTTGTAAAAGATTCCTAAATTACACATTAACTGTTCCATTGAATTAAATATTTCAAGTCTTTTTTATAAAAAAAGTACTTTATTTGTAACCCATCGAGGTGGGTAAGCCTTACTCATCGACATATTAAAGTCTTAATATTTGTTTTTTTTTATACAACTTAGAATGTCAAACAAGCTGACGGCCCACCTGATGGAAAGTGATAACCGTCGCTAATAGACATGGGCAGTACTATGGACATAACAGAGTACACTGTTTCGCCTATGATATCCCCCCTTGCGTTGCCATTCCTGAGGACTCAGGTGTTATTCCTCTGTACCCAGTAAATTCACGCCATATCCCCTCTTCAAACCGAAACACAGCCATGCAAACACAACTGCTTTACGGTTGAAACACGAATGGAACAGAGGTATCCAAGCAATCGACTTTTGTACAAAGTCTCCCTCTATTCTCCTTTTACTTCAATAGAACGAAGCTTTCATAGCTGTATTTCTTATGTAGGACAATACATTTACAAATGCACACGAAGATAAAATTGCACCAATGTGTCAGATATTGACTCACCTGTTTCTTGAAGCCATTCAAGGATGCATGATAAATTAGTCGTTTACTTACTTTTTCCTTGTATTTTACACGATTTTACGTAATCGTCGTCGAATACGAACAATGCATTTGCAATACCTTTTCTGTGCATTTCATTTCAATACTATACACTGCATACTAATATAGGTACATTCAAAACATATGTCTGAATGTACAGCGTAAGGAATAAATTGTAGTCCACCGCCTTTGGCATGTCCCAAACGACTGTAGGACTATTGTGACATTGCTCTATTTATAATTTTTTTTTATACCACTGAGGTGGCAAACAAGCATACGGCCCACCTGATGGTAAGTGGTTACCGTAGCCTATGAACACCTGCAATACCAGAGGATTTACGCGTGCGTTGCCGACCCAGAAGAAACCTCTTTACCCCCTTTTGAAGAACCCCATGCTGTAGTCTCTTGGGAAAACCTCGGCAGGGAGCTCATTTCACAACCTGAATGTTCGTGGGAGGAAACATCTCTGAAACCGCACAGTACGCGACCATTGAGGCTGTAGGACATGAGGATGAACCCCCTGTCGATGGCGAGCCGTACGATGGTAGAAAGTGGCTGTGGGCAATTTCAATAGAATTTAATGAAAGTGTAAATAAACGGATTATTGTCCTGACTCTAATACAATTTATTTATATCTAAATAGTACAGATAAAAAAAAATAATCAATTGTTTAAATGAGCTTTTCATTGCTGAACATAGGCATCCCCTATGAGAGGGGTTTAGCCCATATTTGCCATGCGTGATAGGCAGGTTGGCAACCGCAGTTAATCTCTGGTGATGTTTTGAGAGGAACGCTGCTGCCCATTCTTCGACAGTTCCATTAGTCGCCTCTTTCAACACTCTGAAAAGGGATGGGGTGGCCTATTCTATGCCGGGACTACACTGTCTTAATTTCAGTGATAATTTCCTTAAAAATTTGATCATCTTTTTATAAAGTTTTTTTTCCATCCTTCGACCGTTAAGGTCTTTTAGTCGCCACTCATGGGAAAGGAAGGGATGGCCTATTTTATGCCGGGACTACACTGCGTTAATTTCAGTGATAATGTTCTCAAAGCTTGATCACTTTTTTATTAGATTTTTTCTTAACAGACTATAGACGTGACCGTTGTGACGACGGATAGGAAAGAGTTCTTTGGACTGTGGTGATTATGTAACGTACATTGCATCTAGAACACTACATGCCAGTGGTAGAATTATGTGAATTGCCTGACTACCTTTCCGTGTCTGTAATAAGAGCTCTCAGCTTGTTCACCGCTGTTAAATTCTATTTAACATGAAGGAAGCAATCTATTAAACCTCTTATGAGATTTCACAACTAAGATCACTATACTTGCTTTTTCCAGTTGGATGCAAAAACTGAAGAGTTAATAATAAGACACGTGTTCAATTTCTCGTTTTATGTATATAGTTACTAGCTATATCCCGCGGCTGTGCTCACATCAAACTTTTTTTTTATCCAACTTACTCGTAGAATGGCAAAACAAGCTGATGGCCCATCTAATGGAAAGTGGTAACCGGCGCCTATAGACACGATCAGTACCATAGACGTAACAGAGTATACTGCTTCGCCCATAATACTGAAAAATAAAGTGTTATTCCTCTGTACCCTGTAAATTCACTACCATATCCCACCCTTCAAACCGAAACACAGCCATGCAAACACAACTGCTTAACAATAGAAACATGAATGGGACAGTGGTACCCAAACAAACAACCTATGCGCAAAATCTCCGTCTTATTGGTCCCAATCTAGATAAATATTGTTCTGTGTGTGTTATGTTAAGATATCAACATTTATCTATATACCAAATTTAAGATGTGTCTGAGTAACATATATACAGCTATCTTTACAAACTTCCACATTTATAATAATAGTTGTATAAAAAAAAAAAACAAGGACGTTACCAATTAATAAAGATATCTATTTGTTTGTTTGTTACCGTTTTACTCATTTACGGCTCAACCAATTGTTATGAAATTTGGTATGCATGTAGTTTTTGACAAGGATAAGGGCATAGGCTATTTTTTCCATTCATGCAGACGAAGTCGCTAGCACAGCTAGTTATAATTTAGAAGAAGAAATCCCTATGAGTTTGAGTTTGTTTGTTACCTCTTTGCGCCTTAACTGCTCAACCAATTGGCATAAAATTTGACATACACGTATTATTTGTTGCAGATAAGGACATAGGCAACTTTGTATCTGTTTGACCTTCCGCTGTCGCTTCTGACTTTACCCATAAATAGAGCCCTACGTTCATTATATCATTATCCCATTGTTATACCATATTAGTGTTTATTTATACTGACATAAGAATCAAAGTTGTTTGTTAACATAATAACCACCACGATAACTAGCGACGTGTGACATTTAAAAAAGCAATGGCCTTGTGTGATATTGTAAACAATGCAATCACACGTCTGTTTACCCTTTGTCGTAATCGAAAGCGTGAAGATTTGTGATAATTTATACCATTGTTGTAAAATACAAAAAAAAAAAATCAAATGTGATAAATGTAAGTGCGAGTAACCACTGTCATTTGCAAAAAGAATCATCTAAATTAACACGTAACATATCAATTTGGAAAACTAATGTTTTTTTACTGCTTGATTTTTTCCCAATTAATTTGAAAAAGGGCGAAGCGTCTCAATTGCAATATATTTTATTTCATTCCAATGTTTGTTATGCTGTTTTCACTAATTATTTACCGATTGCGATTACTTTTTTTTATAGCAAACGTTTAGGTCCATCCTATACATAATACAAATGTTGCTTAAAGTTAACATAAAGCAACTCCAAAAAGGTGTTATCTTTTAATTTTGATTTTTTAACAATACTACTTTCGTGTTGCTCCTATGTATCAATTTTGTCCCTTTTTAACCGACTTCAAAAAGAAGGAGGTTCTCAATTCGGTAGTCTTTTTTATATTTGTTACCTCAACTCCGTCAGTTGTAAATCGATTTAGAAAAATATTTTTTTTTATCTAAAACTTACAGATTGGTTCCATAAAAATTTTATCAAAACCGGTTTCAGTATTTAAATTAAAATAACTGGTTTTGTCACAATTGAAGTCGGTTTTTTTTTTGTGGGCAAATCTTTAATTATTTTTTTATAAGCAAAATATTATTGAATTTTTATATCTCGTCGTTATTTACTAAATGAAACTCAAGGCGTGCTAAATATTTATTTTCAAAACTAACGTTCTTACAATATTATATGTAAGTACTTTTTACAATAAACACTTATTACAATAAGCACTTTTTACAAAAAGTACTTCTTACACTTACGCTATATCTACTTATAATACGGGTCATCGAGTGATCAGTAAACCTGAAACAATAAAAAAAATTAAGACCAAATCTTAATCAGATTTAAATAAGCTTAATGGTCCACCTGAAGGAAAATGGTAACTTTCGTGTATAGACATGAACAGCACCATGGCCAACACAGTATTATATATACAGTGCCGCCGGCTCCTTATTATTTATTATCTTAAAATAAGGATAAGCAAGCTGAAGTGGCTAGTCACATAGAAGAACCGACTGGCTGCCCTCTTAAAATATTGCCAAAACCTAACTGCGGTTGTCAATCCGCCTGCCAAGCGTGGCGACTACTGGCAAACCCCTCGTTATGGGGGAGATCTATGTTCAGCAGTGGACAGTTAACGGCTGACATGATGAATATTATAAAAAGGGAACATTTGAGTCTTTGTATGTTTGTTTGTTTGTAACAAATAAACTCAAAAACAAACCAACCGATTTTTTAAATTCTTTCACTTATAGGAAGCTACATTATCAGCCAGTAACGTAGGATATGTTTTATTAAAAAAAAATTAAAAATCCTTACGAAAATCACAATAATGTAACCCAAGGTATTAAAAAATTGCCTGTTAAAATTAATACAAAATATTATATATTTGCGTGCGAAGCCGGAGCAGAGCGCTAGTACTAGTATTATTATAAAAAATCGACCACGTCATCTCTCATACAAAGGCGACGTTTAATGAGAAACGATCGTCAAATAAACACAAAAAAAAATCTACGTCAAAACAATATATTTTATGTTAGTTTTTACCCGCGACTTTGCCTGCGTGACCGAGATATGTTCTTTGGCCGGGGTAATAAATAGCCAATTATCTACTGGAGAAGGAAGATGGGATAGATTCCAAATAGTACGTGCACTCTAATACAAATTCATATGGATTATTTAAACCAGCTATTAAAGTAGTTATTATAAAGCGTCAAGAGATAATAAACACACTCAGTTTCATATTCATAATATTAGTAAAGTAGTAACTAGTGGCCGTGTGGTCCCGGCATAGAATAATCCACCCCTTCCTTTCCCGCGGGTGTCGTAAGAGGCGACTGAGGAGGGCGAGGGATGGGCAGCAGCGTCCCTCTTAAAACATCTCTAAAACCTGACTACGGTTGCCAATCTGCCTGTCAAGCGTGGCAACAACTGGCAAAACCCCTCAAAAGGGAGGCTCATGTTCAGCAGTGGACAGTTCAAGGCTGTTATGATGATGATGATGGTATTAGTAAAGCTTTATTATAATTTAGATAAGCCCTCCACTGTGCATTAAATCTTTTTTATTGTGTCCAATGTAAAATATGTACAATTACATATTTACAATTACACAAATTTTTTTACAATACAATATTGAATTGAACCGATATAATATAATTTAGTTAATATAATTTATACAACTTAGAATGTTTGCCATTCTAAGTTGTATAAAAAAAAATTACTGTTTCGCTTATACATATAATGACATGGTTAAAAATATTATTTATTGTTTAAACTAGTATAACGTTTTGTTTTTGTCTAGTGGTTAGTGCAATGTCTTACACTGTAATATTGTCTATGGCGCACGGTCTAGTTCTGCATATAAAAAAATAAATATAATTGGACTTAGCTTTGTTTTTATCTTTAAATTTTGAATATATTGGTATAAAATGTTAAATATAAAAATCTAATACAAGGATTGCAAAACTTTTAAAATAACAGAACGCCCAACAAATACCTTTTATTTCATGGAACCCCATATCAAACGATTACAAATCAAAAACACTGTTATTGAAATAAAAACAAAAGTGTTTAATAGGAATATTTCAAATTATAACACTTTATAGTTTCCTTTAATTATAAATAATTATGCGGAACTCTGGTGACTTTTATACGGAACCCATAGGTTCCGCGGAACCCACTTTAGGAATCACTGATTTAGAATATGATCCACCTATGTACCCAAAATTCCTTTAGTCTAAACAAATAATCTTACAATTATATAAAAAAAATTCAAATTCATAACATTATTCGTAGTATGATTACACTCTTTATTTCCTTTATATGTCTGTATTTAATTTGTAAGTATTTATGATAGATAATTAAATTAATTAAATTAGATAAGACTCATACTATTGTTTAAAAATAGCCTTTCACAAAATATACAAAATAATAATAATGAAATAAATTGTCATATTTAAAACGAATTGTCATATTAAATCATAGAAATAATTTTATGCTATGGATTTAAACACATTGTAAAATTCGAATTAAATTTAAAATAATGTACTTTACAATTATTTAAATGTAAACTTTTACTATCACAAAAATTTCGAGATCTTTCTACTTTATCTTTAAGAAGATTATCAGTGTTGTTTATAAATTATTAACTTACAGATTTAATCATTAATAATATTTAATTCAATTAAATGTTAGTATATGTTTGTAAAATTATATAAAAATTAATCTATAAAACTATCTCAACTAACAATAACAATAAATAAATCGAAGTACTCACTTTTATGTGCTACATGTAGAGTTCTTACGACAAATGAACGTCTGCTCTCGACCGCGGTCGGTATCAAACTAAAAGGGAACGTACCACAAATTGCGTATGCGCACGGTGATTCAATTAATTTACCTTAACCAATGTACAGGTTGGTCTTTTTTAAAGATACTATTTTTTTAACATATGTAATATACTAACGTTTTAATTGCTTGTGATTAAATTTTAATTAATTATTATAGACGTAAATATTCTTAATTTTTTATTGGACCTCACAAAATGTTTATCAATGCTGTTGCAAGTATAATAAATATTATGTTTAACTATGATAATGAACAAAATACTAAAACACATTCAGCACTGATTTATAACTTGTAGATATTTATAAGGACTTTAGCGAGAATGTACATAGATAGATATACTTAATTTATATGTTTTTTTTTTTAACTTTATATAATTATAAAGTTATAGGTTATAAAGTTTAAGTTATAAATCCTGTAACTCTATACAGCAACACACTAATACACCGTACACTATAATTGAAACAAATAATCAGTTATCTAAGTTGATGAATTTGATTTTACAATGTACCTTTTACACTATATGTTATATATATATTCTTTATTGCACTAAAACATACAGTAACGACAATAAGTTAATAACAATGTTAGCAAAGGCGAACTTATCTCTAAAAGAGATCTTTTCCAGTCAACCTAATACAGTGGCATAATAATATTATAATATTTACGATTACATTATATACACAATAAAAATAATTCGTTTTGATTACGATAAACCCGTTTACCATGAGAGGGGTCATATGCTTGCTTGCCATCATGGTAGTATAACTTCTTTTTTTAAATTTTGGTTACAACCTGTATATGACTGTTCGAGTTGTATTGTACATTCGACTTCGTTTTTTATTATCAATCGTTTATTGAGTGTCCTAGTTATCATTAAATTAAAAAAATAAAATAAATTTTTTTATGCAACTTAGAATGATAACAAGCTCACGGCCTACCTGATGGAAAGCGGTAACCGTCGCCTATAGCCATGAGCAGCACCATGGACATCACACTCTATTCAATCCATCATCATCATAGCCGTTAACTGTCCATTACTTAAGATAGGGCTCCCCCTTGAGGGTTTTTCCAGTAGTTGCCACGTTTGGCAAGCGGATTGGCAACCGCAGATAGAATTTTAGTGATGTTTTGAGAGGGATGCTGCTGCAGATGGGATACTGGAGAAGGAATGGGACCTTGACTATTAAAGTTTCCGTAGTCGCCTCTTATGATACCCACAGGATAGCAAGGGCTAGCCCATTCTTTGCTGCGACCACACCGCAATTTACCACAACCGCGGTCTATATATTTTATTAAATATATTTATTATTTATTTCTCATACTCATACATAAATATAATATTTATTCTATTTTGATTTAATTTTATAAATAGCTTATGACACCAATGCCCATTCAAGCTAATCTCCAAAATTATTAAATTTTAATTTTGAATTTATTCCATATTTATTCCAATAAATGACAAATATAACTATAATATATAATATACTATATTATAAGTATTGTAATGCTCGTTTGTCACCCTTTTACTTACTGTGGTACTGTTCAAAATATCTATTATTTATATTTATTATATATATATATATATATATATATATATATATATATATATATATATAGTTAATATCTTTATTCATTTAATAACATTTAATAATTTAAGTCCATTTTAATATTTATCAAATACAAGGTATGCTGTGATTGCCTATAAATGTAAGAACAGTTTGCCCTAATCCACTAGTGTATTGTATTGAAATGTTTCGCTGTATCTTATATTGGTGATCCTATAAATAAATAAATTATTGCACCATTGCGAAGCGGGGGTGAATCGCTAGTGATAATAACATTTGGACCGGTGTGCGCATTGTTGCCATAATCTTTCCTTGTTCTCTCGACTGTATGACTATAAAATTCGCGCATAGGTACGTCTGTTCGTGAACGATAAATTTAACGACCAGATTAAAAGCAAATGTTACTTGTTTATCTATCGTCAAGTACAAGTGTAACACGTTTCTCTGTTTGCTGTGCCGTCATCGCCTTGCATGCAATCTATAATGACACGAAAACTCGATTTTAAACCAATCTACTTTATTTACTAGCTAAAATTATTGATTGGTCCCTCATGAACGGATTTGACCTCGCGGATCAATATAAAAATTGTCTATTTGATGAATAATTTTACTTAAAACAAGGTGTATACCGCGACTTCGTCTGTGTAAATCAGTATAAAGTATCCTAAGTTCTAAGTTAGGATATAATGAATCCGTGTACCAAATTTCATTGAAAACGGTTCAGTAGTTTTTGCATGATGCCGGAACAAACATAAAGATAGACAAAAATTTCAAAAATTATTGTTTTAATAATAATAATAATAATAATTCTTTATTATCAGGTACTTAGCCCATAGAGGTACAATTGTATTACAACGTGCACGGATAACATATAAAAATATAACAATCAAAACATACAAAAAGAAAAACATAAAAATTAAAATATATGTAGAAAATTTATAATTTATAAAAAGTAAAGTAAATTAAATAATAATATAGCAAGAAGCAAGAGAACATTATTTAATGTTCCTGTCTTGGTGCACGGACAACCAATACTTTTGAATGGGACTGTTCAGACACTGGGACAATGTGCTGAGGATTTCATTCTTTGAATTCCGAATGTGAGCCCAGAAATTTGCTACACGATTTCTTATTATAGCGAAGTAATCATTCACCCTGGACTCCGCAAACATGCCCGACGCACTACAGTATTTCGGAAGCCTCATCAAAATGCGGTATGCATTATTATACTGCACTCTAATGCTGTTCCGCGCACTTTTGGTGCAATTTGTCCAAAGCTGACATGTATAGAAACATTGACAAAATGCTCGAAACAATGTCAACTTCACATCTGGACTGCAACGGGCGAACCTTCGCGCGAGCATGTTGCAACGGACGGCCAGGGCCCTTCGTTCTCGTTCCACATCTCCGTCATCGCGAAGATCCTCTGTCACGATATGTCCCAAGTATCTGAACTGACCCACTCTTTCCACTGCAGCGCCGTCTATAAAAACTGGCGGGATCCTCTCCGGTCCTCTCCCAGACCGAAATACCATCATTTGTGTTTTTTTTACATTGTATTTCAGTCCATGACTCGATGCATAACGTTCACAAATTGCTAACAATTTTCTTAGTCCACTGATAGAGGGACTAAGAAGAACCATATCGTCAGCGTAGCTTATACTATTTAAACAAGTAGTTCCAATATGACAGCCTACTTTGGCGCTCCTTAGTTCCCCTATCAGGTCATTTACATATAAATTAAAGAGGTCCGGTGAGGTCAGCCCTCCTTGACGAACTCCACATTCTAGTCTATACTCACTAGAGGTGGTGCTGCCCCATTTTACAAAATTTGTCTGTCCACAGTACCAGACCCTCAACAGATTAATAATTCTGTTTGGTACAGCTGATAAATTTAGTTTCTCCCACAATAAATCATAATTTACCAGGTCGAAAGCTCGACTTAAGTCTAAAAAACACGCGTAAACTGACGTACTTCTTTCGACATAATAGTGAACGGCCGATTTAAAACAAAATATAGCTGAATCTGTCGAGAGTCCAGGCCTGAAGCCAAACTGCGCATCATCTATTTTCATACTACGCTGCAGTTCTGGCTGAATTAATCTTTCGAGTATCTTACCAATAATTGTACCTAATGATATGGGTCTATAATTGTTAATATTCGAAGGGTCACTAGTTTTATGTTTCTGAATAGGTACCACTACAGTTTTCATTAGATTCTTAGGCAAATAGGCCGAGTTAATACAAATATTAAATAAGTCAGACAATACATGAAAAATAATTTCACCCGCATGTGCAATGTGCTCCACACTTAGCCCGTCAAATCCTGGAGATTTACCACGTTTCATTGCCCGAACTACTCGAGCAACATCGTCTGAACTAAAATAAAAAAATTCATTGTCCACATTTTCGTTAACCGTACGCGGGCACACCGCAGCACGACATGAACGAGGTTTCACAAGGAAATGGCGCGAAAATAAGTCGGCAATCGATTTGTGATTGTATTCACCCTGTATACTAGCCGGTATACTTGATCCATAATCAAGCCGTCTCGTGCTTCTCCAAAATTTGCCAAAGTTTTTATTCGCTTGGTGCAAGGCTAATATATTCATTGTAATTTGATCCTCATTATTCTGGCACCACCTCAACTTGTTTTTAAAAGCCTTACGAGTATCAACCATATTTTTATAAATATCGCCCGTCACCGGCCTACCACCCAGCACCCAACAGTCAAAATAAATTTTGGCTGTTTGATGTAAACGTTTTACGTGGTAGTTCCAACCTAATATATGTTTGTTCTTTTTCCGTGCACCTCGACTTACATACTTTATTGCACCAACCTGTAGAATTTGTACTATATTATTATAATAATTGTCCAATAAAAATAAATGCTTTTTGCAAAAGTGATTATTACAACAATTGACACATTGACTAGACAATTTAAAATTTTGCAATCTATCATAACAATAGTCAGAGTATAAATTTATTTGCTCAACATTCCTTTCCCCCCAGCGAACACCACACAACACGTCATCTATATTATCAATTATTATTTTCTTAGCGACAGTACTGAGTTCACACAAAATTATTAGCGGGAGATGGTCCGACCAGTACACACCGTAGTCCACACGAGCCGCCGAGACAGTTTCACGAGCAGCAGCTGTCACCACACAATGGTCCAACCAGCGCCTTGTACCACATCCATCGTTCATATGAGTATAAGTACTATCCTCTAGCAACTCTCGATCAACACACACTAGTGACTGTTCTGAGCAGAATGACAGTAGCTCGTTACCAAACCTAGACACAGGATGTGCATTGTAGTCTCCAAGCACGTAAATAGCCTCCGTTTCTGCGTCATTTATTATCGCCTGTACACTTCCCAAACAGTTAGTAAATTCTAGCAAATTCTCTTCCCTTCCCTCATCATATGGTAGATAAACAACTTTAACTTCAATTGTTTTTATTAGGACCTTCATATACCTTTTTCTTATATACCTTCAATGGTCTTTTAAATTTCTCAAAGAGGGTTGACGTCAGGCAGGCGGCCGGTCGCAAAACTATGAGCCGAATCCTTTAGTAATATGGATAAAACCATATTACGCCGATCCCAAATAATAATTGATATAAGGGTAGGGAGGTGATGATGATGATGATGATCTTTTAAAAATATCATTATTTTATAAATAATTTGAATTTAAAATACACCATGTATAATATATGAAATTAAAAAAAAGACCTGCAAAAACATGCAAGGATGGCGTATCATAATTTTTTTTATACAAATATAGTGATGATAAGATTGTTTTTTTTTTCATTCTGTTATCTTTAATGGGCTTCAGTCAGACGTGTGTTTTATTTGCTATGTATTTAGAGATAAGTTTCTTTACTACGTCAAACAGTTTCAATCCTGTTTACTTTTTATTTTAATTGAAATTTTGTCCTTCTACTGATACTGTTGTTTCTCTTAGATGACATTAAATATGGAAATTTATAATATTTTTTTATACTACTTAGAATGGCAAACAAACTGACGGCTCACCTGATGGAAAGTGGTAATCGTCGCCTATAGACATGAGCAGTACCATGGACATAACAGAGTATACTGTTTCGCCCATGATACCCCCCATGCGTTGCCATTCCTGAGGACTCAGGTGTTATTCCTCTGTACCCAGTAAATTCACGCCATATCCCACCCTTCAAACCGAAACACAGCCATGCAAACACAACTGCTTTACGGTAGAAACACGAATGTAAATGAATGTAAAGTAAATAAAAGAAAATTAGATACCATTCAACTCTAGAAAACTATCATTTTTACATGTCCTGGCTTTGTTTTGTTTTTGTATGTTTATTTATATGTTTTTTTTTATGTCTCCAAATAAAAGAAGTGCTCCAAAAATGAGTCTAACTAAAAAGTCTGTTCAATTCATTATACATATTGATATCTCAACGTTTTTTTTTTTTAATGAATTATAATGGAATGGTAACCCCGCCTGCGCTAACGGTATACGCTGGCGGGGCACCAGTGAGGTGAGGGTGATAGGTGAGAATGAAGCAGGTCAGTTAGCCCACCATGACGAATGTAACAATAAATCAATGACGATGGTTTCTAGGGGAACCACGAGGAAGTCAACCTGACAGGGTATATTGCTAGCAATGGGGCTACTAATCCCCATTACTAACAATTCTTTCTCCCCCCAATATCTCAACATTAGGTACTATATACATTTGTTTATGTACAGAGCCATCTAGCGGTAACAATAGTAATGCCGCTAGATGACGTTGAAAAATAAGCATCATATTACAGAAGGACAAAATTCAAATTTTAATAAAAAGTAACCAAAAAAGTAAATGAAAATGTAACATTTTCTTCTCTATTTACAGACTCGTCATGTACAGAAAACGGAAAGAGAATATTGTTGCTACTGGAGGAGAAGATTTGAAACTTCTATCCCGGAAGCCCTACACGGAACTACAGAGCCTCAATGGGGCATCGATCCAGCGGCAACGGTAAACCCTCCCCGGCTTGAACACTTTGAATAAACATTTGAAATAGAATGTCCAACTACTATTACAATTTGTATTAAAAAGTATTAATTTATTTTGGTAGTTGTTCCGCTTTTTTGTTATTAGACCACAGAGTTGAGTTTTGTAGAGTGACCATTTGATATCGAACAAATTTTTATATTTGATATTGAACAAGACAGCCCAATGGATTTTAACATCATAGAATATATTATACCGCCCACGTTACCATGTGGCTTCATATGTTATGTCACTGGCATTAGAGATTGCACTATCAATTTTCAGATCTAAGCGTACACACGAATTGTTTTTGTCGTCACAATAAAAATAGTGGTGACCCAAAAGAGTTACAGTTACCATCAATTAATGTAATGGTACGTTTATTTATAAAAACGTCAAACCACTCATAAACCTATTTTAGCTATTGAACTGTTTTGTCTCTTTCTAGTTTTTCACTAAATTCCCAACGGGAAAGAAAGTAACAAAACAGTGTAATAGTAAAAATAGATTTGTAGGAGGTTTTAATTTTTATGAATAAGGGGGTAATGCATAAGTTTTAAAACAGTGCACGGTTGCTAAATGTATTTGTTTTGTAACATCACTATTTATAATCTATCTCTCATTGTTGCAATTAGGGATAGCGAATTAGTTCATAAGGCGTCTCTATTAATTCATCTCTGTGTCATTATATACTAGTATTACAAATTTACTTCTTCCTTACAATCATTCAGTAGTTACCTGCTCCATTTATTTAGAAAATAAATGTTATTGTTAATACATAATAAAATAAAATTAAAAATCGGACATTTTAATGTATAATGAATTGTGAAAAAACGTTTTGACATTATAAATGTGTAAAGGCAGATTTACAAAAGGTCAGTACTGAATTCTAGCTCGTAAGAAGTCAGTGCTGACTCGCCACTGCCATAACCTAAATTGTGACAGTACAGTACTTTCGCGTCAGTGGTGACTTACGCACCTAAATTAGTATACCATTGTTGTCGTGACTACTAGCATCAATGAGCCAGTGTCAGTCAATTTACTGACTTTAAACTCTAGAGAAGTCAAATGCTGACACGGCACTACCATTGTGTAAATTGTAACAGTACTGGCGCGTCAGTGCTGACTTACGCTGTGAATAACTCAATGTAAATTTGTCTTATTTGTATAGTACCTACCAGTTTTATATGTGCTGTGAATGGCTAGCATTGTAAATATAGACATAAGGTTTTAATTGTATATTTTTAATTTATAAATGTAGTTTAAAAGAAATAATATTTAGTGATGTGACATGGTCAGACAGGCTCTTTAAATCCATATTTTTTATTTTCTTTTATTTTGAACGATCTAATGATATATATATATATATATATATATATATATATATATATATATATATATATATATATATATATTTCTTTTACATTGTAAGTTCCATGTCTTTAAATTTTTTTACATGAACATTATGGCAAATAAAAATACTATCAATTACATTTTATTGACAATTTAATTACAATACTCATAATAAATCGTATTATTCATAAAAAGTTGGAACTTGACCTTGACTTATGTCATTATGTTAGTTATTTTAAATTAAAATTATTCTTAAAAAAAAAGATAGGAAACCAATAAATCTATTTTAGTATATAAGTTTTATTATAATGAAATTTCAATAATTAAAATGAGTTAATGAAATGTCTATTTGTGTCTAGTTCTAACACCTAGATAGAGAGTGTCTCTCTACAAATGATTTGACAAAATAGCCAACTTTCTACTTAGTCATTACTTAGTTTTTAATTTCTACTTAGCTAACTTAGCCAACTGTTCATATAGTTGTCTTGATTTTTTTTTAATGTTTCTTGACGCTCGACACTATCGTATTTATTTGTGTTGTAACTTTTTAAATTAAACTTCATTATTTATTTATTTAAACTACTTTATTTACCAAATAAAAATATGGTACAAAAGTCGGAATTAATGCTATTAGCGTCCTCTACCAGTCAACCTTTGAAATACAGTGAATCACGAACTCAGTACTTCATAATATTGACTATTTTATGTTATTTTAAATAATATAATCAATATATATATATATATATATATATATATATATATATATATATATATATATATATATATATATATATATATATATATATATATATGTGCCAGAGTCTGTAATTATTTTTGTCACATCACTATAGTTGGAAGTTATTAGCTCACTATGCTTATTAGTTCATTACATTTATTCGTTCATGAACTGATCATTTATAAGTAGACCATTTTTATTGACCATATCAATTATTTTTATAAATTAAAATAGTGAAAAAGCAAATAGTTATATTAAATCAATATTAAATGTTGTTATTATTATATAATAATAATTCAACGCTATTATATAAAAACAAAATATATTGTATGAATGTATTTATTTGTCTGTATAAGTTTTTAAACAATTCTAAACTTTATTTTCTATGGTATAAAGTGCAATGTTAAATGCTCAATGTTTTAATTATTTCTATAAAGCAATATAATGTATACCGTGTATATGTCATTTTGGAATCACATTTCTTATATTTTAGTCGTCTTCTTTATAAAGCTCTCGTATATAACACAGCTTATTAAATATTGAAATAATTATTTATTTATTTTAATCAATTAAATGTAAATAATTAAGTTTTAACTTATTAATTTATATTTATAAAGATTAATAATTTAAAAGTTAATTACAAATTCGTGAGAACTCAAATATTTCAATTGGGTTTCAATTAGTAAGCTATATATAATTTGATATAGATTGATTTATTGTTAATGTCTATCACCAAAAAAAAAATTGTTTTTCTCTATTACTTTGTATAGGTGAGATTAACAAAAGTCGCAAACATTTAAACTAACTATTATTCTACTATCACTACTCATTTAAGTGACGTACTAGACAAACGATAGTGCCATTTCTTTATTACTTAATAAAAATGCGATAATAAAACTATATATCTATATTTTATGTAGATTTTTTAATATGGGATTAATTAATTCATCTCTACACATATACGAGTATATACCATATAGTCTATGAACAATTTTTGTAAAATTTAATTCTTACTAAAAGTATTATTAGATTAGTTTTAGTGTTAGACTAAGTAGCCAATTTGTAATTTCGATATTAGAAATATATAATTTTTGCATTTATTTAAAAAAAAAAAGTGTGTGATTTCAAAATGCTATACATTTTATTAACTAAATAATGAAAACTGTCATCAATATCGTCGAGCTTGATTCTTTTTATAAGTGTATCACAAAAGACGTGACTATTGTATCGCATTCGACACATTGTAATAACGTCAAATATAAAATACTTGTTGTAATTAAAATAAAAAATTATTTGACATAAAATTTTCACATTTATTGATTACACTTCATCTATGAGTTGTAACGGAAAGGGCAATTAAAAATAAATTATAGAATAAATAATTTATATAATAAATAAATTATTTAAATTATTTATTAATTTAATTTAAATTAATTATTAATAATAAAAATTAATATATTTACATATTAACCATGTACTGTCCACTGCTAGGACTTGCACGCATTGCGAGGACCTCAATTGCGAAGGAGAGCCTCATCGACGATCCACTATATCATTATAAAAACCACGACAACTCTGTCAAGAGTGTACGACTGAAAAGAAGGTCCACTGCTAAACATAGGCCTTCTCCATAAGGAGTGTTTGGCCAGTAGTTGCCAAGCTTGACAGACGGGTTGGCAACCGCAGTTATGCTTTTGGTGATATTTTAAGAGAGACGAAAAAGGATACGAAGTGAAGAAGGAGCAATCCTCTAGAATTTCCAGTCAATATTGAAAAACTCTTTTTGCATTTTCTGGCGTATTTTTAAAAGAACGTTATAACCTATTCACATTGTTACATATTATTACATACAGCCGTGAACCGTCCACTGCTGAACATAAGACTCCCACATTAATAAGGCGTTGAGAATGTTTTAAGGAGAATGGCGCTGCCCATCCCTCGGCCGTTAAGTTACATTAGTCGCTTTTTACAACACCTACAGGTAAGAATGGGTGGCCTATTCTATGCCTGGACAACATGGCAAGTAAATTATTAATTATTAAAATAAATTGTTATTAAATTTTAACGTTATTATGAACTAGATTATTTATTTGCTCAATAAATAAAAAATATAAGTAATATAAACAATTTTCTTCATATAAAATTTGCAACTACTTGATCGATTTATTTATTTTATTTATTTATTCATTAGTACAAATATGTGTACATGGTGGACTTAATGCTAAAAGCATTCTCTCCCAGTCAACCATAGGGAAGTGTCAGAATACTCGAATGCGGTACTAGTAATTATTGATATACATACATACTAAAATTACATATATAAACGAATAAATATATATAAATAACAAATATACTTACACATATATGACATCGATTAAGTATGAACGGTATTTAAAAAAAAATTTAATGACCTAAATTCGGTTTATAATTACCCATCTAATAGGCTCCTCTTTCCGTTACAACAAACCCTAATTTATCTCATAAATTAACTACAAATGATAATTTTTTAACAACTTTAAAACTACAAGGAAAATGTTTAAAATAAATCAGTATAAACGACAACATAACTTTCAAGAAAAGAGCATATTCCTTTTTAAAAGGTCGGCAGCACACCTGCAATGCCGTAGGTGTTGTGGGTGACCATGGGCGGCGGTAGTCACTTACCATCAGGTGAGCCGCATGCTCGTTTGCCCCCTGTGTTGTAAAAAAAAAAGTATAGATTTGTTTACAAGCAGTTTTAAATCGATTATTTTTAAGTAAATACCTATCGACATGTTTTAATGTTGATATTTTTTTCTTTTTAATATATTAATTGATGTCAAACATCAATAAAGTATAAAAATTACATTTTTATTATTAATAATTAAAAATTATATAATATTAATAATTTATTTATAAATTATTAATATTATATTAACAATTTTATTTATTCTTTATTGTACAATAAAACTTTGTACAAGTGGCGAGCTTAATGCCATATGGCATTCTCTACCAGCTAACCATTGGGTAAAAACAGAAAGCGTATGAAGGGCAGATGTGGTGAAAAATATGTGACAATTATAGTAACACATTAAGGCAATACACAATATAAATATAATATACACATAAGAAATGCACATATAATACATAAACATTACTTTTAATATATATGGATAAACTAATACATATGAAATATATACATACATATACATAAATTAAAACAACGATAAGCATTATGAGATATAATAACTATTGAGTAACCTGTAACTAGAGCTGGTTTTGTTGACTCAACAAATAATTAAAAAGTCTTCTTTTAAAAATATCTTTACTTGATGCTCTGCGTAGATCTACAGGGATCTACAATTATTATAACAATTATTAAAATATGAAAACCATATTGCGTAGAAGGTGCTAGTTCTCTCTTCAAATCCCGACACTTCAAAATTTTCAATCACTCGATTAATATAAATAAATAAAATATAATTATGTTTACTTAAATATAAATATGAGTTCGTTTGTTACTTCTTGACGCCTTACCCGCTAAAACAAATTTTTTTCCTGAATAACAATGGTATAGTTATTCCTCCTACAATGTAATGCAATATCTTACGAAGAACCAGTGAAGAATTGTAGGTGAGGACTGAAGACGTCAAAGCAGTTGGCACATCGTGAGGAATTTACTATGTTGGTTTCCAGCAGGATTGTATGAAAGTCGATCTTGTAGGGTATATTGCTAGTAATGAGGCTACTTGTCCCCTTCCCCGCCATGTTTTTTTTTAATGAGTGATAATGGAATGGTAACTCCGCCTACGCTATCCGTATACGCTGGTACTGGCGGGTACCAATAAGGGATGATAGGTGACGATGAAAGCAGGTCAGTTAGCCCATCGTGACGAATTCCACTAGAATTAATCACGATGTTTTCCAGGCGAAACCGCGTGGAGGTCGACCTAATGGAATATATTGCTAGCAATGGGTCAGTTAGACCTCATTACTAACAATCTCTCCCCCCCCCCCGCGCCGTGTTTTATTTTTATATTTGGAATGAAAAAAGACATTAGCTATTTTTTTTAGTCACTCAACATATCACAGTTTCACGAACAAAGTCGCGGGCTAAGCTAGTATCATTAATAATATCAAATACGTAGAATTAACATCGTAATATGTCATTTAAGCTGAATATCAAATTAATTGTAAAATATTTGACTAAGCAAAACCATATATTAGTAAATTATAACAAATCAACTCCTATTACAATAGCAACAAGGTACAAAATTGCATACCTTTATATACATACTTGAAACACCTAATTATTCCAGTGTCTTCGATGTACACTTTACACTAAGAACGTTCTAAAATGAATTTCCTACTTGTGTTTAAAATGAATTTTCTATTTTTATTTTTACAAATATCCTTAGTGAGCTCATATTTAAATTTAAACGAAAGTAATTATAAATTAAAATATATACTGAATAAATATAAAAATTCGAATTGTGCTAAATATCGGAGGTGTGTTGCGGAGGTCAATTTGGACTCTTTTATTGATAAAAGTTTAAATTTTTTCGATAAAACCTCGAGATACGGTGAATTTCTTAATAGTTACAATGTGAGTGAATGTAAGAGGGACACCGAGGTTCAAGGTACGAATTACAATAAGAGACACATCTCGAATGGTTTACTAACTAGCCACGAAGTTTCGGACTCACATTGGAATGAATATAAGGTACAGATTTATTTTTTGGAATTTTTAATGGCATATAATTGTGGAGGAAGGGAGGGGGCTTGTTAGTAATGTGGTCTTACAGCCCCATTGTTAGTAATATATCCATATTGCTAGCATTATTATTGATGAGGTTATCAGGTCGACCTCCACGCGGTTCCTACTGCAAACCGTCGTGGTTAATTCTTGTTGACATTGTCATGATGGGCTAAATAACCTTCTTTCATTCTCATCTAGCATCATTCACTAGTGGCCTGCCAGTGTACACCGATAGCGCGGGCGGGGTGACCATTCCATTTTTATCATATGATTATAAAAAAAGACCCGTATGATGGCAAATTGTAACCGTCTTCTATAGACATGAATAGAATTTTGGACGTCAAAGAATATGCTCAGATGGCCGTACAAGCGTAGATCCACCGTCGCACAGTGGGAACTTTGACTCCTTTTCATCTCATAAATCTATAACTTCCGTATTAATAAAGATATGTACATGATTTTTTTTCCTGATAATCTTAAATATATATGCTTTTAAATTATGTATGCGTTGTGAGTAAAAATTTATTTCTAATAGTTATAAATAATATAGGAATACAAGAAATATAAAATTTGTAGGCTTACATTTATGTCCTAAGAAATTTATACAGGAATAAGTAAAAGTATCTGCGTAAAAAACAAAAACTCTTATAAAGATAACTTAGAAGTCACTCAAGAGCTCCTTTACTTCATCAAAAAGTTCTAAATATTTTTTATTGGAAGGTTTTCTTAAACTTGATATGTATGGGTCAGAGGTATATAAAAGTGCGTGTAGAACATCTTCGTTAGTGGCTACCCTCGAACATTGTCTTGCATGATGAAGCCTGAACTGCTTATAGTCTTTGTTCCGTGACTCTTGATCATCTTCTGAAAGTTGCCCAAGAGGCAAGACAGAAAAGTAACGTATCACACTTTCACAATGAATCAACACCTTGTGATTTTGCGGATAGCAAGATTCTGTAACTTCACGAATCAACTTGTATGATGGAAACAATAAGCAATTCTTTGCTATCAAACAACTCATCATATTTTCTTACTGTGCCTTGTTCAGATCCAATTCTACAAAAATGCTAAGATCTTCATCTTTTAAATATGCTGTTATATGTGTCGGTTCATTAAGAAAATTACTGCGTATTTCACTCTTTTTTCTGACGGCCATGCTCGTAAAATATCAACGATGAATGCTTCATCTACTTCACCACGTGACCTTAAACCCTGTACATATGAGTTCAGTATGAAATCAAGTCCATAGGTATCGAGCAGTCCCTTGTTTTTCCGTTTCTTTGTACTCTCTGAACTGTCATTGTATCTTTTAGAAGGTCTTCCTCTTTTCTCTGTCGACGTAGAAGGTTCAGGTTCGCATGTTGTTTTTTCTAGATTTACAGTGAAAATGACATTAAACCAATTGCTATTTTGATTTAAAAACTGTTTTTTCTTTCGACCACATTTCGTATAGCGTTGACGAAACTGAGTTATGAAGGACTTCTAAATACTTGCGATAATTTTTGCTATATTCGCATCTGAAGATTCGGTAATATTATTTCGTACATAGTTTGAGATATAATCAATATAATTTGTATCACTTTCAACCGGTACACGAGACTTCACTCATTGCGGAGAGATAAGTAATTAACAATTGTTTAGAAATGACAAATGCTTATAAAGAACTGTAATATTTCATATGTAAATGCACTATTTTATACTTAATAATGATCATAGACGTGTGCAAAATTACTTGATTTAAAAAATTCATCATTATGCGGTTATGCGGTAAAGAATAGGTCTGTATGGAAATGGGAACTAAATACTATGTGAAATACTTGTTAAAAGTAACGCAAAAGATAAAATATAAAGTAATAATTGAGACAAAAGTATTTTTTTGAGTGTCCAGACAGAGAATCTCAAATAAAGAAAAAAAAAATCTTAATATACGTACTTAGAAAAAAACATTCTCACCATGATATTATACTAGATTTAAATATATTACGCAGTAAAACTGCAAAAAAAAATCTTTTGCCCTCAAATTACATTATATTTCCTAATAAATTAAACCAAAATCAGAACTTCGGCAAGCTTCGGCAACTGTCAAATCTCCAACTGAAAGTTTGAGAAAAGAAAATAATACATATAACGATATATGGTTCTTTGGTTAAGTAATATTCTACTAAACTAAATATATTTTTATTTTATAGTAAAGTACACATTCTAAGCATTTTAAAATGGTATCACACTATATGACTTCTATTGTTTTGATACTATAAAATTATACCAAACGAAATTTAAGTTTCATAATTATTTTTGTATTTTTTTCATTCCTTGACTTTAGATGCTCTGTTCTATGAAGTATGAACAGTGACAGATTTGAATCATACTTATAATGATAGAGTAACTCTTTAGCTAAAATTTGAGGTATTATACATGCATATCCACAGAGTTTTAGAAAAAGTATTTATGAGATGGCTTTCTTAGGAGAGTTCCCACTGTGCGTCGTGGGGACGATGGGACATAAAGGTTCATAGATACCTTTTTTCCACTCATCTTTCTACCACAAAGCAGCTAAAGGTAAAGGATTTGTCCACTAGTGAGCAAAAGCCTCAGATATTAGAACGTTCCTGAGCCATCCTGTATTATGTATTAGGGGTTGCCATTTTAAATTTCAAATTATCTGCCTGGCTTTTTTTTTCGGTGCTATTTTTGAGACAGTTTTAAGAATAGTTTGCATCTTTCACATCAATTGCTTATTGTAACATACTGAACTACCTTTTTTTTCGTGGGGAAATGTCTAATGCAGACCCATAAGCCCCGGGGGAGGCTTATGGGTACTGTCGGACTCCTACCGGCTAAAACCACCACGGCATCCCTCGCCGCGCCATAGTGTTAGGGACCCGGGTTCCCTTTCGAAATCCACCGAGCCCCAACGGCGTTGGCCCCCACCGGTTTGCGGGCCCCAACATACTGAACTACCTAATAATCTCTTTGTAGTCAGTTTACAACAAAGTGTACGAGAGTATTCACCACGAGATGGCAGCACTGGCAAAATGGCGTAACAACTTGTTACGAGTAGTGGAACACAACAGGAGATTTTTGGCGGGACAAATAAGCTATTCACTGCATCTAAACCACTTTGGGGATTTGGTAAGACGAATATTTTTTTTTATAACTTTTTATTGAGTACGTGTCTCATCAAGCGTCAAAAATAATAACGGGCCACCTGATGGAAAGTGCAAATATATCCTAACAGGTCGACCTCTACGCGGTTCCCCCTGGAAATCATCATGGTTTATTCTTGTTGAATTCTTCACGATGCGCTGACTGACTAGCCTTCATTCTCATCTGTCATCTATCACTGGTACGCCGCCAACATATACTGATAGCGCAGGCGGGGTTATCATTCCATCATCATCCATTATAAAAACCTGTGAGCTAATTTTAAGAGAATTTAGAACGAGTAGCATCCCTAGTTATCCAATAGTTTCTGAAATATCCCCTGCTAATATACGGAGATCACGAATTCAGTAGTTAGTAAAGATATGTCTAGATGTCGCTTTTTTAATTTCTTTTTTAATAAGAGAAAATTTAAAACAATACATGAAAATTTATTGTAATAATCTTATTTAAATAATGTCCTTTTTCAACCGATTTCAAAAAAAGGAAGTTCTCAATTGTATTTTTTAATTTAAGATTTTATTTTTTTGTAATGTTTGTTATGTCAAAACTCCAACTTCTAAAGCGATTTAAAAACTCTTTTTTTATCTTAACAGATTGGCCCCATAGAAATTTTTATCAAAATTGGATTAATAGTTTACTTCTGAAGTCAAAATAACTGATTTTGCCATAAATAAATCCGTTTTTTTCGTGGAACACAATTTTTAAATATTATGTCTCCAACTATAGTACCAAATATGATAAAAAATTCTAAAATAGAAACTTGCAAGGCCCAAAGTAAATATTTCTAATCGAATAAAACTTGCACAAATTACCTACTTGTAATTATTTCAGGGCCGCCCCTTCCTTTCCCGTGGGTGTCGTAAGAGGCGACTAAGGGAGGGCGAGGTATGGGCAGTAGCGTCCCTTATAAAACATCTCTAAAGGCCCAACTGCGGTTGCCAACCCGCCTGACAAGCGTGGCAACTTCTGGCATGGCACCCTTTATGGAGAAGGTTTATATCCAGCAGTGGACAGTTAATGGCTGAAATAAAAATAATAATAATAAATTATTTCAGGGAGCGCCGGATTATTTCAAGAAAATATTGAAGTTATTTGACACAAAACCCCTCTTTGATCCCGCTGAAGATCATCATAAGACCACCTATCGGAAGGTGATTCATCGCAGAACACCTAGGGAAGTGAGTTTTTTAAACAATTTCCTTAGATTATATAGATACTGCCGTATGGTCTCATCATAGAATGGGCCACAGTTTTTTTCCCGTGGGGGTCGTAAGAGGCGACTAAAGGAACTTACTGGTCGAGGAAATATGAATTTAAGGGGTTGGGTGCGGCATGCCTACCCCAGTTATCTGGTGCCCTAGGATGTGAACAGAGCTTTATAAGATGCATAAGCATAAGCACGTATAAGATATATTACAGTAACGTGGTTCGTTTCAAGGTGGACTGGCGTGCCAAAGGCTTCAAGCCTCGTCTAGAAGAGCAGTTCCAATGCGGTGCCTGCTACGCCTTTGCTGTCGCTCACGCGCTTCAAGCACAAGTGTATAGGAAAGACGGCGATTGGAGAGAACTCAGGTCACTACAAAAGTTTTAATTTTTACATCTTAGAATGGAAAACAAACTTATAATCATGGATCATTGATGTAGGGATGGGTGATATATAGAAATATATGTATATTTTAGTTACGATATCTATATTTTGGCCCAATAACAGATATGTTAAATATTATATACAATATTGAAATAGAGAACCTGACCGAAATGAATATATGATATCCGACCGATATATGCAATACATAAATGTATAATGACCTTGTTTCAGCCATCAATGTCTAGAGAAACCCAATATATAGATATCGGAGTAGTACCAACCTCATTACTAGCATCTGAGTATAGCAGGTCGACCACCGTTTAGTCCTTCAAAGAGAAACAGCAATGTCAGTATACCTACTTCACAATAGAAATATGTATGGAACAAAGATAGGTATCCATGCAGTCGACTTTCACACAAAGTCTCCTCTTGTAATATTTTTCTTTAATAGATGATAATGGAGTGGCAACCCCGCCTCCTCTAACGGGCAGGGCACCAGTGAAAGAAGATAGGTGAGAATGTAAAGGCAAGTCAGCTAGCCCATCGTGATGAATACATTTTTTTTATACAACTTAGAATGGCAAACAAGCAGACGGCCCACCTGATGGAAAGTGGTAACCGTCGCCTATAGACATGAGCAGTACCATGGACATAACAGAGTATACTGTATTCCCCATGATACCCCTAATGCGTTGGCAGTCCTGAGGACTCAGGTGTTATTCCTCTGTACTCTGTAAATTCACTGCCATATCCCATCCTTCAAACCGAAACAGAGCCATGCAAACATAACTGCTTCACGGTAAAAACATGAATAGGATAGAAATGCCCAAGCAAACGACTTTTATACAAAATCTCCTGTGGTAATATATTTTTTTAATGAATTATAATGGAGTGGCAACTCCGCCTACGCTAACGGTATACGCTGGCGAGGCACCAATGAGAGAAAATAGGTGAGAATGAAAAAGCAGAGCAGTCAGCCCATTGTGATGAAATACACCTGGAATTCAGCACGATGGTTTCCAGGAGGGGCCACGTGGAGATCGACCTGACAGGGTATATTGCTAGCAATGAGACTACTAGTCCGCATTACTAACAATTCCGCCCAACTCCCCCCCCCCCCCTTTGGTAATATTAATAATATCTGTTACATACAGCCCCCAACAAATCGTGGACTGCAGTTTCAAGGACGGGAACATGGGCTGTGATGGGGGATCCTTGAGAGCGGCGTTGCGGTATGTGGCTAGAGAAGGTTTGGTCCCGGAAAGACATTATCCATATATTGGGAAGGTTTGTAGTTTTTTTTTTATACAACTTAGAATGGCAAACAAGCTGACGGCCCACCTGATGGAAAGTGGTAACCATCGCTAATAGACATGAGCATAACATGAACATAACAGAGTATACTGTTTCGCCCATGATACCCCCCATATCCCCATATCCCCCCAGCTTGTTTGTCATTCTAAGTTGTATAAAAAAAAATGAAAAATTGTATTTATTTTAATTTATTATATTAGTAGAATGTCATTTAATTTTTTTTTATTTTAAAATTTTAAAAATATTCATTTATTTATAGAAGGGTCGATGCCACTCCATCAGGGCGGTGTCCCGAGCTCGCCCCCGTCGCTGGGCGATGATACCTCTTGGTGACGAGGACGGGATGGAACGGGCTTTGGCCACGATTGGACCCTTGGCTGTCGGTGTTAACGCGTCTCCATTTACCTTTCAGCTCTATCGGTAAGAATATTTTAGACTTAAACAACCTGAGAGAAAAAGGATTGTTAATAATGGAGATTAACAACCGTATTACTAGCAATATACCCTATCAGGTCGACCTCCTCGCGGTTCCCTTGAAAGCCATCGTTATTGATTTATTAGTGAATTTGTTACGATAGGCCAACTGACCTGCTTCATCTTCTCTTGTCATCCCTCATTGGTACCCCGCCAGTGTATACCGATAGCGCAGACGGTGTGACCATTCCATTATCATCCATTAAAAAAAACATCATATACTTAAACAGTAACTACGTGCGAGCACGTAGACGGTACTTATTTGACGTTTCATTAAAAAGAACAGAGTTGGCAATGCAAGCTCTCTTATCTCTTTGCATTGAAACTGCTCATGATGTTTTGAGCCGGAGGGGATTTTTATATAACTAGGATATAGCCTATATATTAATATTACATATGCTCTATGTGACCGTGTGGTCCCGGCATAAAATAAGCCACCCCTTCCCTTCCCGTAGCTGTCGTAAGAGGCGACTAAGGGAAGGCGAGGGATGAGCAGCAGCGTCTCTTTTAAAATGTCTCCAAAGCCTAACTGGACTACTACTTGCAAAACCCTTCAAAGGAGAGCTTCTTAAAACTAACGGTACTCTGATGAAAGATATCGAATTTTTCGCTAATTCTGTTGAACGTTTGACACATTATTATTGGTAGATGGAATATTGAAGAGTCTAGGGTATCTAAAAGTGTTTACATGCAATCAAGTTCAAAGGCGCAGTTAATGATTCATTCACAATTCGCTATCTTAGAAAGCAAGCACAGATCATCAATGCTAAGCCTTGATTCTAAAGTTGCTCTATCTGTGTGTATTTCATTCAAATTTAATTGACCTCTTTACTCCTTACTTAATTACTCCTCTCCATCCAAAGGTTGTCTGGAAGAGATCGCTTTTAGCGATAAGGTCGCCCATTGTTTTCTCACTGTGATTATTTCTTGTAATTGTTTATATTTGTAATAAGTTTATTATTGTAATCTTTTGGAGGAGACAATAAAGAGTATCTATCTATCTCTTTAGACATAAGTAATTAAATAATGAACGTTTTATATAATTTTTTTTAGAAGCGGTATCTACGATGATCCATTCTGCGTGCCGTGGGCTTTGAACCACGCTATGCTACTAGTTGGGTACACACCACAGTACTGGATTCTGCTTAATTGGTGGGGTAAACAGTGGGGGGAGAATGGATATATGAGGTACATTCCTTTTACTTTTTCTCTTACCACAAATTTCACTTAATTCCATTTCGTTTCATCTCATTTGACGTCATTTAATTTCGTTTTATTTCGAGATAAAATAAATATTATTCTCTATTTTTACAAAATATGTTTTGACTAGCGGCCCGTCCCGGGTGGACATTTTTACATTTTAAAAAGAGCCATTAAGGCGCGACGGAAGCTTAAAAATGGAGTAACTTCTGCGGTTTCTCCAACATTTCCCTTCACTGCTCTGCTCCTATTGATCGTAGCGTGATGAAAAGTATACTATTACCTGCCCAGGAGTATGAAGAATAACTGTACCAAGTTTCGTTAAAATCCGTCGAGTAGTTTTTGTTTCTATAACAAACATACAGACAGACAGACAAAAATTTTACTGATTGCATTTTTGGCATCAGTATCGATCACTAATCACCCCCTGATAGTTATATTGAAAATATATTTCATGTACAGAATTGATCTCTCTACAGATTTATTATAAGTATAGATTATGAACCACGTTATAGTTTTAACACGGCTGCTGACGGCCCACCTGATGGAAAGTGATAACCGTCACCTATAGACATGAACAAGATAAAGACAGGTCAATTGGCTTCTCGCGACGAGTCCCTCAAGAATTAATCACGATGGTAACCAGAGGGACTCGTGTGGAGGTCGACCTGACAGGGTAAATTGCTAATAATAAGGAATAATATCACCATTACTTTTGAATACTAGATGTTATGTTCACTAGATGTTATGACATTGTAATTTCTGTTTTATTGGTAATTGGTTTGTAGATAATCAGTGAGATAGAACGAGACAGCAAGGTCAATTCTTATTCTTTCTCATAAATTAAAAATTAAATTATTTTTTATTTATTTATCTATGTTTCAGAATAAGGAGAGGATTTAACAGGTGCGGTGTGGCAAATATGGCTGCTTACGTAGAACTATAATTTGTAAATCAATAAATATATTTTATTTAGAATTATTTTTTTATTTATATATTAATTTTATTATTTACTTATTTATAATTATATAATATTTATTTATTTATAAAACCAAGATACAAACAGGCATAATAAAAACCACAAAGGCTTCTCTGGAATGCCAAACATTCTTCTTATTTTATACTTTAATTGTACGCCATAAAAGAATGCCACAAGTTAATTTGTACTAACTTACGACATGCATTATTGTACAAATAAATGTTACTACTGTCTGTATTTTTCAATTCTATAAATTGTTTTATAATAAATCTTTATCAAATTGATAATTATCCGAAATCTATAAATGTCAAGAACGACAAAAAAGTTTCAAACTCCCACACTAACATGATAATCACGATAATAATGCTTTTGTGTCATTTATCATTAAAATTAATTGTATTTATTGATTTTTTAAATGATGCAATTAGGTGTAAATAATTAATTAGCAATGATTAGATATATAGATACAACATTGAGTGTCAAAAACGAGTCAAAATTTAATCAACCAAATGTCACTTTAACTGACAGAATATTGACATATATATTTTTTAAGGAAAAAAATAACCGCCATTTTTTCAGTGTTACTAGAATTTGGATCAAAAATTTCCCAGACTACGTCGATTTTTCTAATTTGATTCAGAGACAATTTTTTCTGACAAACCTAATACGAATATGTGTATGTACATACTGTCACATATTCTCCCCCTAACTGTCTAGAGACAGGGGAAAAATATTTCATACCTTTATAATATGAAAGGGGATCTCTACTCTACCTAAACCTAGAGGTTTGCTAATAGAGTAGAAGGATGAGCAGTAACGTCCCTCTTAAAACATCACCAAAAGCCAAACTGAGGTTGGCAACTCGCTTGCCAGGGAGGAAAGGGATTGTTAGTAATGGAGGTCAAATAGCCCCATTACTAGCAATACACCCTGTCAGGTCGACCTCCACGTGGTTTCCCCTGGAAACCATCGTGGCTAATTCTAGTTGAATTCGTTACGATGGGCTAACTGACCTGCTTTCATCCTCATTAGTCATCTATCACTGGTGCCCCGCCATTGTATACCGATAGGCCAGACGGGGTTACCATACCATTATCACCGATTAAAAAAAACCGCTTGCCAAGTGAGGCAGTGGCTAAACCCTTAAGGAGAAGACCTATGTTCAGCAGTAGACAGTTAAAACCTGATGATGATAATGATTCTCAAATTAAAGCACTTACCAACAAATAGTTTTTAAATATTAATTATATACCTAAAATTTAAAGTGTAATTGACACAAAGCAATAAATAAATTTATGTGTAAATTATAATTAATTAATTCCTCTGCTGTGTCTACATAATTGTAAATTACTAGGGTCGGCCGTACATCATTAGCGAATACCAAAATAATACCTACCTAATATAATTTGTATAATATTAAGCATGGACGGTCACCCACTAGTGATGTACCTAGGCAGACCTTTTACAATCGACTGCAAAACGATTGAGGTTCTCAATTCGATTTATTTTATTTATTAATTAGTACATGCATATGTGCAAAACTAACTTAATGCTAAAAGCATTCTCTCCTAATCTATCTCAAGGAAGTGTCAGAATACTCGAATGCGGTATTAGTACTAATTGATATGCAAACATATTAAAATTTACATAAATAAAGAAATAAATATATATAAATACTTACCTCGATTGTATTTCTTTTTATGTTAATTACCTCATAACTCCATCAGTTATAGAAATAATTCGATTCTAAGAACTTAGACCAGTACTCGAGTATCTGATTTGATTGTTTTTTCAATTGATATCTGAAAGTTGCACAAATAACACTTGTATTAATCAAAATTTTTAATTTAACTATGCACAAATAAGTGCTATTATAAAATTAATAAAATCTAAGACTAAATATAAAATATTGAGAAAACGATTACTAAAATAATTATTACAGCGACAATTATTCTATTAACATAGAACTCGCATCCTGTGTTCAAATTCCATATATTGAGTACTCGAAGTATCTGAGTAACGACATTAAATATTCGAGTCAGTCAGTACTCGAACCAGTTCGAGTCGGCACATCACTATCGCCGACGCCGACGTTAACGGCGACAGATTATAAAGGAACCGAGATATTTTATAAATATTTCGTTAAATTATTTATGAAATTCTCACATCGCTGATTAGACGGGATTCTAAATGAAATATTATTATGAACAATTTTTTTTTTCACAAAATATTCCTCGACGTTAACAGCTTTAATTATTTTGTAGCGGACTTTGAAAATGGGAGAGCGTCTCTTTATATTAAACTAGCTGACTAGACAGACGTTCTATTTAAATTTCACTTTATTACCTATAATTTTATTTTAAACTAGCGATCCGCCCCGGTTTTGCGCGGTTAGATAGAAAGATAAGACGTCGCTGACAATTTCGACAACCGGTCTCTTTTATATATTTGTGTATATATATATATAATTTCAGTCTTTTAAATGTATGTATAAATGTATATGTTTAATTGTAATTTTTTAATAATTATATATATATATATATATATATATATATATATATATATATATATATATGTGTGTGTGTGTATGTATACACAAATATATAAAAAAGGGTGTATTTCAGTTTTTTTTTTACAACACTGGGGGCAAACGAGCATGCGGCTCACCTGATGGTAAGTGACTACCGCCGCTCATGATCACCCACAACACCTACGGCATTGCAGGTGTGCTGCCGGCCTTTTAAAAAGGAAGTATCTATCTATATAAAGTTATCTATTATGCTTATCTAGTTCAGTTTAGTTTTTAAATTAACAATATAAATTAGGTTATTCGAAAAGTTCAACTAGATACCGAGTTAAAATCTTAATTCACTTAAAGTAGTCCTCTGCACTCCTCCGCGCCGAATGGAAAACTATTCTCCGTTCATTTCAAATCGGGTTCGGTTTAATTTAAACATTTTAATGGTTTTATTTATTTGTTTGTTCGTTTGAGGAGAGGGAGACTTTATACAAAAGTCGTTTGCGTGGGTACCTCTGTCTCATTCGTGTTTCAATCGTGAAGCAATTATGTTTGCATAGCTGTGTTTCTGTTTGAAGGGTGGGATATGGCGTGAATTTACAGGGTACAGAGGAATAACACCTGAGTCCTCAGGAATGGCAACGCATGGGGGATATCATGGGCGAAACAGTATACTCTGTTATGTCCATGGTACTGCTCATGTCTATAGGCGACGGTTACCATTTTCCATCAGGTGGGCCGTCAGCTTGTTTGCCATTCTAAGTTGTATAAAAAAAAAAAATTTATGCATTTATTTACTTGTTCACTTGTTCGTCTGTTCCTCTGTTCGTATTTTCGTCTGTTCGTTCGTTTACTTTTTTACTTACTTACTTAACTTCATGTACCATAACAAAGGTACATAAATCGGACATAACACTTGAAGGCGATCTCTTGGTAGAGATAACTTCCTGTCCCATGGTTGACTGGTGTAAATCATGGGACAAACAGAGATGGTTGGCGGCGGTATTTTAAAATAAAATAAAAATTATAATTTATATAAAAACACACGCACTTTATTTAAAATAATAATTTTACCAAATGTCATTCTTGTTTTTCGATTAACATTTTCTCTCCAAAGATAAAAGCGTTTGAGTTGCGCCAAACGTCTAACCTAATTGAGTGCACAGTTGAGAAAGCGGTCAGGAAGGCACAAATGCGATTTATCTATTCCACAGTCAGTCAACACTGCGTACTATCTGTTTTGTGTCGATTGCTTTCAATGCGACAACTTTTAAAAAAATGCAATTAAAATAACACTGGTTTTTTGATTTGAATTATTTTGCTTAATTCCGCTAACATTAGTATGTGTGTGATGGCCTACACTTACAGATGGGCAAAGCACCGGGTTTAAACCCGGTGCTTTGGTAAAAACCCAATAAACACCCATAAACTCCCATAATCACCCAAAAAAATAGGTTTTTACGTATTTTTTTGAAAATATGTAAGTAATACCAATAAATTATTTTTATAAATTGTATTGATCAATTCTACAATATTAAATAAAACGTTAACTAATAATATTTCAGGAAATTTTAAAAATCTATATATAATAAAATGAAAGTAATTAATTTTCAGTGTTTTCATGTTGCAGTTGATCAACATGTTGGCCTTTTGCTTCCCGTAGATACTTTAAAATTTCTTCATAACACCTCGTTCGCACACATGGCCGTATATATTTAAATTCTTGAGCCACTAACAGTCCGAAATACTCATTTCTTTTATCCTCTTCTCCATAAATTAAGCATTTAGAACAGTTTGTTTCTTCTTTCAGTAAATTTTCTTTTACTTTATCCTCGTTTTTTTCTTTGTTGCGACGACGCTGGGTAAATCATCTGGACACTGGGTCTCACTATCGCCAAATATATTTGGAGATCGGCTTCGGCTACGGCTTGGCAGACATTTTTTTCTTTCTACAATTTTAAATTAAATTTATTAGAATAAATGCTTCGAACACACGCGATCTAAGTACCTTTTGTGTTTATTATACCTTACCTACCTAGGTATAAAAAGAGTACTTACGTAGATTTTCTTTTATTAACTGTTTTATACGAAGATCTTGATCTCTCAAATTAGCATCCATTTTACTTCCAGTGATTATCAACTAAATTAATAATCCACAAAGTATTAAATAACGTTTTTATGAAATATTTAGCACAAAAACAATACCCTTTAAATATCGATCGTCAGTAACTGTGGCTGACTTACCTATATTCTAGCAAGCAGGACTGCCAGATGTGAAGGGGAAATCCCCAATAAATTGTTGCATGTGACTGATGATGTGAGCATGTTCGTTTCATAATAAAAATGTTGCCAGGTAACCAAAAAGTCGTATGTTTTTGTGCGAATTACGATCATAATCTTTACGATCGTACATTAAAAAATAGACAAATAATAGTATGAGTACGATTTAAATCGTATATCTGTCAACCCTGCTAGCAAGACAGCGACAAAATCACGTTGCATAACAATGTAGCCCAAGCTTATATCTTATGAAATATACGGAAGAGATACGGACTTAGAAAAAACAGAAATGTTGTTCTTTGGAAGTCATTGATGAAATTCTATGTATTTTAGCCCGCAAACTTTCTTCAAACAAAAACAGCGCCATCTAGTATCGAGTTCTGTAATTATCTCTTTGTTTATGGATTTGAAGTAAGACCGCCACGCATGCAATACATTATGACTGGGGATTCCCCTATTCGTCGACGCTGAATATGAGGCGACGACAATCACTGTCAAACGTGTTCACTATTACTCTGACTCTGGTAACGTGACTTCCTGGTAACGTGTTAGGTAGGAAAAGCAGTAAAAAAGTGCATATTAAGGGAGCAGATTTGAAATAATATTTATACTTAACAAGAAATAATTAAAGGTAAGTGGATTTTTGAATGATACAATTATATCATGATCACTTAACAATTTTAACTTAAAATTAGATGTATTATTACAAGCTTTTATTTAGCTTGCGTTATGTAAATAAAAATATGTAGGTATGTTCGTATGTTGATGCAATTATCCTCAATCCTCAACCGACTGGGATAAAATTTTCCATACACGTTTATTTTGGATGATAGTGCATAGTTAGCTGAGAGTCGTCATTGGATAATAATGGTGGATAGCCTAAGATGTGTACTAGATATTTATTTTTAACATAATATGCGTAAGTACCTAATCGAATTAAAGAAGTTGCTGAGAAAAATACAGAACAATACGATAATAAACTAGCGTCTGCGTTTAATCCTCCGAGGAGATGTAATTTTACAAAGGTTTTTTGTATTTATTTTATTATTTTTTTAATAAATTTATTGTAAATAACAAGAAATAATCATTGTAAAAAAATAGGCACTCTATTGTTGAATTTTCGTCAGACCAACTAATCATCGTTCATTTTTTTAGGTTCAATGGGGAGACCTAAAGATTTACGCATATGGGAGCACTACCGTACTTTACCAAACAAGTCTGTTTCTTGCAAGCTTTGTAATAAGGTCTACAAATTCAGTAATGCTGCCAAAATGCTTCAACATCTTATCACTTGTCCAAAATCTCCAGAAACATTAAAAGACTCTATGAAACTTATAAAAGATAGCTCGTCCAAAACCAAAATGTCTGGACTGTCAGAGATAGAGACAAATGATTCTTTTATAAGCCCCTCGTCGTCTGCTAACACTACAATAAATGCTGAGTTTCAAGACACCGATGATCATATAAAAACAGAATTAGCGAGAGCTATATTTGTAACAGGGACGCCATTATCGATGGTGCAACATCCTTTATGGATACAATTTTTCGAAAAATTGCAACCAAAATTTAAAATACCTTCACGTAAAGCTTTAGCGACAAAATACTTAGATAAAATATATAGAGAAATGCGTTTTGAGTTAAATGAGGAACTAAATGCTTGTAGTTACTTACACCTTCAGTGCGATGGCTGGTCTAATTTAAGAAATGAAGGAATAATAAACTTTCTTATATCAAAACCTCAACCTGCATACGTTAAAAGTTTGAATACAGAAAGTAATCCTCACACTAGTGAATACCTTAGCCAAGAAGTTGAAAAAGTAATGAAAGTGTATGGAGCAAATAAGTTTCTTGTACTTATTGGCGATAACGCTAGAAATATACAAAAGGCATTCGAATTAACAAAACTCAAATATCCACATGTTGTTCCTCTCGGTTGCTGTGCACATATCCTTAACTTGTTGTGCCAAGATATTGTAAAGATACAAGAAGTAACTGTGTTTATTATGCAAGCCATAAATATAATAAAAACTGTTAAAAGGAGTCAACGATTAAGTTCCTTGTTGATAAAATCAAGGCAGGGTGAAGATTCTACACAAACACTAAAATTGCCTTGTGCTACAAGATGGGGAAGTCATGTTACTTCGTTAAAAAGTTTGAAAGCAAATAAGATAGCTTTGCAAATATTAACAGTTAGAGAAGATGTGGTAATTTCAAGAGATATTAAAGATTTAATTCTAAGTGATGATTTCTGGACGAAGACAGGGGAATGTATAAGTATTTTGGAACCAGTCACTGAAAGCATATTTTACTTAGAGAGCGACCAGAATCGTTTGCATCGCACATACATTACATTTAGAGATGTACAAGCTAAGATACGTTTTGCATTAAATGAGATTTCGACATTGAGCGAAGAAAGCAAACAGCAGATTCTAACATCAGTATCTTCAAGATGCAATATGGCAATGAGGCCAATACATTTTGCAGCATATATTCTAGACCCCAGGACTCTAGGAGTCGAACTTACTCAAGAGGAAGAACTTAAGGGTATGGAGTTTATCTACAATTTAAGCCAACACTTAAGTTTGTCAAATGTAATGGCAGATTTGGCGTGTTATAAAGCTAAAGAAAACTTTTGGGCCAGAGGATTTGTATGGAGCTCATTAGATAGCATTGAGCCCCTAATATGGTGGAAAGGTATTTGTGGTTCCACTGAGTTAAGCAAAGTAGCGATTCGTATTCTATCAGCTCCCTGTACTTCGGCAGCCACTGAGCGTTCCTTTAGTATCCAAGGCTACATACATAATAACAAAAGAAATCGACTTACAACTGAAAGAACTGAAAAAATTTCATTCATTTGTTATAACTGGAATCTTAAACATAAAGCTGAATGCGAGGACATTCAGTTTAATGAAGAAAATACCTTAGAAGCTTTCATTGAGCAAGTAAATGAACATAACAGTTTAGACGAAATAGAGCCTATCGAACCTATACAATTCATCGCTTGTAATAACTCTGAATCTGACAGTGATTGACTGTAGTTTTACATTTTACTTTCATCTCTTTCTTAATAAACTCAAAATCAAATTAAAAGTTTTTTATTCTGTAGGCTGCATAATAATATTGTCTATGTCCAGTATAGTGGACGTCTTGCGGCTGAGATGACGATGATGAAGTACAAAATCATAAACACCCAAAAATTTGGGTGTTTATGGGGTTTAAACCCAATAAACCCAAAACACCCGGTTTTTACCCACCAGACTTTAAACCCACCCAGGTGGATTGCCCATCTCTACCTACACTCGAAGGTTGGCCACCACTATTACTACCAGAAGTTCCACAACCTTCCATATTAGCCCTCAATGTTCGACTGCAATTTCGTCCACGCACGTTTTACGACACGTATTTCGACTCTAAACGGGGCTTTTTAATAAAATACTAATGATCCGCTCCGGTTTCGCACGGGTGCCTAATGACATTACTGTTTCGCCCATGATACACCTCATGCGTTGCCATTCCTGAGGACTCAGGTCTTATTCCTCTGTACCCAGTAATTTCACGCCATATCCCACCCTTCAAACCGAAACACAGCGATGCAAACACAACTGCTTCACGGTAGAAATGAATAAATAAATAAATGAATAAATTATTGTAATTGTCGTAGGAATCTCAATTTTTTTTTAAATCAATATATAGCCTGTGGAACTTGCTAATAATGTAGCTGAAATTTCTATAGGTGAAATTAAAATTGTTTGAGTAGTTTATGAGTTCATTAATTACAACCGAACAAACATACCTACAAAAAAAATAATGGTTCCTCTACAATATTGGTATAGATGTAAGTATGATATTTATTAAAATATGATTTATTGTGTTCATTGTACATTTTATATATCTACATTCACCATAAAGCAGCCAGAACGATGTACTTATTACGGGAGTTCTTCAACAACTTATTTTAATGGTCAATTCCTTACTTTTATGGGGGAGCAGTTTAATTTGAAAGTTACGAGAATAACCGCAGACACTTGCGCTTAATGCCTGTAAAATATTATAAAGTGATGATAAAATATTGTAAAAAGTATTATCTGAAATCCAAATTATATACAATCGAAGTATGAAGAAACAGGAATGACTTCCCGCCATATTGTGACGTCAGAGCTGTCAAAAAGTTATTGAATTAAAATTATGGTGTATTTAAAATATAAAACAAGTAGATTTTGTCTTACAAAAAAATACGAACTCCAATCTGACCATTCCAAGACTATTTTGAATGTATATCTTTTATTTATGCAACTTAGAATGGCAAACAAGCAGATGGTTCACCTGATGGAAAGTGGTAACCGTCGCCTATAGACATGAGCAGTACCATGAACATAACAGAGTATACTGTTTCGCTCATGATACCCCCTTATCAATATTTTATTAATAAAAATAAATCCAAATTTTACTACTATAACAAATGTAAAAGTAAGTTTGTTTGTTCGTTATCTTATAGCGTCTTAACGGCTCAATCAATCACTATAAAATGTTCGTATACACGTATTAAACGGGATGGAGAAAGATATAGGCTACTTTCAAAAAGGGCATATTAAGATTTCTTCAGGGTCTGTAACGCGCACGTGACACCCCTAGTGTTGCAAGCGTTCATAGCCTACAGTCATAGTTTACCATCAGACGAGCTGTATGCTTATTTGCCACCTTCGTGGTATAAAAAAAAAAATAAAGAAAATTTTGTCTAAATCCGTTGAGTAATTCAGTCTTTAGATCTAAACAACTGGTTTTGTCAATGAAGTCAATGTTTTTGTGGGACACGATTCTAAATTATAATTCTATAGTTAAGCATGTCTAGAAAGTTTACAAACAAATCAATTATAACATTCAGTATTAAATTGTCAAATGTAAATTATGTAATTAATTTACAGTTAAAATTATTAATAATTCTATTACGTCAGGATTTAAGATTTATTATCAAGATGGAAGCCGAAAGCTTATATCCAAAAATGAATTCTGCCTATTGATAAATGTTCCAATATCCAATTGGTGAGATAAATGAGAAGCTTAAATGTGACGGCGCTGCAACGAACACACGACTTATCAGACATAATTAAATTATCGGATTACCACGTATTATCGGATTATATTATTCAATATTAGCTTTTATTCGCGACTTCGTCCGCGTGACCGTGATATGTTTACTGGCCGGGATGAAAAGTAGCCTATATTCGCTCACGACTAAGGATCATGAATTGATTCCGAAACTTTGATTCCAAATTTGAAATCATAACCTTTTAAGTTTCTAAATCAAGGTATTCGATTACGCCACTATACCCACACGACAATATTTGACTTAAGACACAACAAATAATTATTTATCTATGATTATGTCCCAAAAAAAAATGTGACAAAAATCCGACTTGAATTGTTATTAATTATAATCAAATTATTATTTTTTATTTAAATAAACACTAACTTATTTTACTGAGGTTTTTCGACCTAATTACACGTAAGAAAAAGCGGTAGCTTAAAATGAAAATATCCGAACCTTTAAATATCTTTATAGACTATTATTATCATATTATGGGCGAAATAGATAGATAGATACTCTTTATTGTTCCCTCCAAAAGATTACAATAGTAAACTTATTATAAATATAAATAATTACAAGAAATAATCACAATGAGAAAACAATGGGCGACCTTATTGCTAAGAGCGACCTCTTCCAGGCAACCTTTGGATGGAGAGGAGTAATTATAAACAATTTGGTGGGAGGCACGATGAAAAATTGTTAAGTCTCTTAATTAACTCTGTTAAGTCCATAGTATTGCTCATGTTTATAGGCGACGGTTACCATTTTCCATCAGGTGGGCCGTCAGCTTGTTTGCCACTCTAAGTTGCATAATAAAATACTGTACTGGGTTGACTGGAAGAGATCTCTGTCAGAGATAAGTCCACCCTTGCTCACAACATTTATAAATAGATTATTTTATATGTAACTTACAAGTGCAATAAAGAATATATATATATATATATATATATATATATATATAATAAAATTCAGTATCTTTTTTGTACCACTCAAGAACTGATGGGAAAGGAGTCGGTTCTTTGAGCTAAGTGACCAGCCCATTGCCACTTCAGCTTGCTTATTCTTCGGGCTATGTCGGTGCCTTTGGTCCTTTTGCGGATGTCCTCATTTTTTTTTAATGGTACCAGTGAAGGATGATAGGCGAGAATGAAGCAGTTGGCCCATCGTGACGAATTCAATAAGAATTGTTCACGATGGTTTCCAGGGGGAACCAGGCGGAGATCGACCTAATAGGGCATCATATTGCTAGAAATGGGGCTGTCAAACTCCATTGCTAACAATCCCTTTCCCCCGCGGATATCCTCATTTCAGATTACATCACGCTAGTTAGATAGATAGTTCGCTGAGTAAACTCGAAGCTCTAGCATACGGGCAACCGTGTAAGATCTTGTTTCAGTTTCATAAATCATCACTGGCAACACGCACTAGTTAAAGACCTTATTTTTCAAACTTTAGGATATTTTGGAGGTACAAAATTTTAGCATTAGAAAATACACTATAACGCCCGTGTTATTTGTTTACTATCAATTACAGTCGCGGTGTCTGTGTAACAATTAACCTGCGTTTTAACGTAGCCGAGTGGAACTGCAGGCAGAACATGGAAATGCACTTAGTATTGTATACGTACAACTGATACAGTGCTTCTGTTTTAGTATAAATGTGTAGTATGAAATTACGTGGTTAGTTTACTTTATAATATTATTTTTCAATACGAACAAAAATATGTATTGTAATGCAAACTATTTTATAATTGTAAAATACTTTGTTGTTTTTCTTTTGTTTTATGGAATGTGTCTTTTGTTCTTCTCTGTTACTTCATCAATATACATGCACGTCTATACACGGCGTTTTTATTTATATTTTATTCTTCTGCTCCAAGTTCCTGCTAAATTTAACTACAATAAAACCAGCAACCAACGAGGACCTGGAGGAACTGGAGGAGGAGCGAGGAACAATTATTACATATATATATATATATATATATATATATATTACATTTCAGATGGCTCAAATTAAACAAACATTCCTACTATCCGACCCTGTATAATTGTTTGTATATCTATATTTGTTGATTTTTTTTATACAACTTAGAATGGCAAACAAGCTGACGGCCCACCTGATGGAAAGTGGTAATCTTCACCTATAGACATGAGCAGTACCATGGACATAACAGAGTATACTGTTTCGCCGATGATACCCCGTATGCGTTGCCATTCCTGAGGACTCAGGTGTTATCCCTCTGTACCCTGTAAATTCACCGCCATATCCCACCCTTCAAACCGAAACATAACCATGCAAATTCAACTACTTCACGGTTGAAACACGAATGGGACAGAGGTGCCCAAGTAAACGACCTTTGTAAAAAGTCTCCCTCTGGTATTATTATTAAATACTTACTTTTGAAACAATTGAAGTCACAACAGAGTATTAAAATACGAGAATAAAAAAATATTTCTAAGAAATATTGTAATATAAGCAAATAATTTTACTAATATTAAACTAGACGATGTCTGTACATAAGAAATATTAAAAAAAAAAAACTAGAGTAATAAAATCCAAATAATACTTGTAATAATTTTTATATGTTTGTCAGTCCGTGTGCTTCTTCTAGAATGACGAAAAAACTACTAAATTAAATTAGATGTGGTTTCACATTTGTGTTTCTGGGTATCGAACTTTAAAACTGGTATGAGTGTATGTTTTGTCTTGATACGCTGTCTAGAAGCGGTCTGTTTCATTGATTTTTTTTACTTCTAAAATCAATGCGTGTAAAGTAAAAGTATACTGTACATATATATATATATATATATATATATATATATATATATATATATATATACACACGCACACACATTTTTCAATAATAAATCCGTGTGGTTCCGGCATAGAATGGGCCACCCCTACCTTCCAGGCGGCGCTCTTGAAACATCATTAAAAGCTAACTACGGTTGCCATCACCAAAGCCTTAAAACATAACTGTCAACCCCTATAAGCATGGCAAGCGCCCTACATTATTGGCAAAACTCCCCAAGATGATGTCCGATGCTGTGTTCAGCAGTGGACAGTAGGTACACGACTGATTGTTCAGTAAAGCTTAAACAGACAAACCTATACCTAACCATTTACCATCAGGCCAGCTAAGTGGTATTTAACTCAATGATAAAAATAAAAAATAAAAATTATTAGTTTCATTTGTAATATTCCAACATGAAAATGATATAAAAAACCATAAAGATAAGGGCCGACGTCCTGTCACACAGGAGGTCGGCTGATAAATGACTTTCTTGGAGAAAAAAACATTAGTTACCCCGTACCTTCCCCCCGCCCCCTCACCCCCACATGTCAACACCTGGCTTCACCTGTACCATGATATAATGACGTAACAATATTTTCTTTTGTTTATTTTTTATACAACTAAACTCAAAAGCTCACATGATGGAATGTGGTAACCGTCGCTTGTAGATACGAATTATAGAATAAACTTTAATGCCCATGGCACCCTAAAATGCGTTGGCATTTAAAAATACCCTCATGCGTTAACATTTTTTCAACCGACTTTAAAAAGAAGGGCTTAAGTTGGTTGTATTTTTTTTATGTTGGTTACCTTATAACTCCGTCAGTTGTAAACCGATTGTGAAAATAACTTTTTTATCTGAAAATATATATTTACAAATTGGTCCCATAGAAATTTTACCAAAATCGGTTCAGTAATTTAGTTTTTAAATAAAAATAACTAGTTTTGTCACATTGAAGTCGCTATTTTTGTGTGGAACACGATCTTAAATTTTTTTTCTTTATTTTATCTTCAGAACGAAACCTTGGAGATGAGGTAATAGCGGTAGAAACACTAGTGGGTCAACAGTACCCGTGCAGTTTTGACTTTTGTAGAGTTTAAATAAAAAAACAAATGTAACTCGAAACTTTGCTGGCTACAAAGCTGGCATGCTCTTTGCCGTACCTAATTGAGTAATCACTTCGTTAGGTATCAATATCAATTACTAAGTGCACTGTCTATACTGGCTGACTTTCTCTAACTTTTAAAGATTTTCTTAATTATTATTGATCTGTGTTCCCAATGATTATTATTCTAAAATCTTAAAAAGTGGCAAACAAGCATACAGACCATCTGATCGTGTAAACGATCCTGTATGGACGTCTGCAAACACTAGAGGTGACACGTGCACGTTGCCGACCCTGAAGAAACTTTAATAATACCCTTTTTAAAGAATCCCATACTGTAGTCTTTAGGGAAAACCTAAGCAGGGAGCTCATTTCACAACTCAGGGTGTGTTAACGGCAGAAAACTATTCCGAAACTTTTAAAACATATACAGCTTCAAAATTTTTCATATTGTTCGTATTAACATAAAATATTATTATTAATGTTTGTTAATAAAAAAAAAGTATGCTCACAACTATTTTGACCACAATAGAATATCAGTGTTTTGCTCTTCTGAGAGCAAAGCGATAAGCTGAATTGTGACCATTTTGTGTAATTAAAACACGCATGAAAGGAAAAAAAAAATACTTTTTTGATGCATTTTGCTTTTCTTTGTACATTCTTTTATCTCTTTTTATTGTGCTATCTATTTCGTTTATCTATGTCGTTGTCATTTGGGTGCTGTAAATAATGCAAATAAATTGTATATCTATCTATCTTTCCATAATCCTTAACCAGTACATAAGTATTTGTCGACTATGGTCATTATGAATAACGTAGCTCTTGACTTGCCTACATTTCACCGAGCATATTAGAATGCAAAGTGACAGGGAACGAGCATACTACCATCATTCGGTTTTCTATTCGAGACATTTAAATTGACATAAAGTTTTCGGAGTCAACGACATTTGATCTCATGAATAATCGTCGTCATCATTACAACCCATCGTCGTCCACTGTTAAACACTATGGAGCGCTTGCATCCATCACCTCTCCACAAGACACTTAATATCGTCATGCCATCTCACAAGGAGTTGCCTCACACTATGCTTGTCTATACGGTGACTTCATAAATGCAAACAGTAAAATCCAAATACATTAAAACTGAAATGTTGCTTTACTTTTCATCAAAATGTTATTATTTCCGATAGGATTTGATAAAGATAATGGGTTCGTGCGTTAATAAATTAATCATACAAAGCCATGTGTTAACATTCCGCATGTAATTTGATACATACATACAAACGCATTGGCACGTATTAAATTTTATTAACTTCCATTGATATCCTAACCAGTATACTCACAACCATGAGTTGGATTGTACATTTAATAGTTCTGGCCCTTGTTTGTATTGTTACTGGTAAAGATTGCGTGATCGATAACAGATCACGCCAGAATACATGGGAAGCGCAGCTCCAGAAAGATATAATAACCTTCAACGATATCGAAGCACCGAACAGTAACGAAACCGAAGTCTACGTTAAATTCATCTTGAAATATTTCAGTTTCGACGCTAAAGAGGAAATATTCAAGGTTCACAGCTGGATGATGTTAGCTTGGACGGACGAAAGACTGAAATGGGACAAAACAAAATATGATGGAATAACAGAGACTATAGCGTTGAGCAACACAATCTGGTCTCCGGGATTGAGGTTGGTCAACGAAGTCGATTGGGATGAATTCGAACCTTACTACGGCCAATGCACCATTCAGAACATGGGATTTGTGTTTTGTATACCGAGAATGGTCCACGGAGTCTTATGTAACACGAAATTGATTAACTGGCCTTTTGATATTCAAAAATGTACTCTTAAATTTGGTGCATCGACGAAGTACTGCAAGGTCAAATTTACATTTAGCTCACGACGAGCAGTAGCCATGATGGGAGCTGAATATGGTGCAGATTGGACTATTATAGATTACGAACAAGCAGAATATGAAAATCAAGACACACAATTGAGTCTCACATTCTATTTGGAGAGGCAAGCGGTTGGATTGGCTGCAATTGTGATTATGCCAATTATTCTGTTGTCTATGCTTACTCTTTCAGCATTGTTGTTGGAAGTTAAAGACTATGTGCGTTTAGGTATAATCTCGTTCAGTTTACTGTGGCATTTCTATTACTTATCATCAATCAACGATTATATACCCAAGCACAGCGTAGACACGCCATCGATTCTCTTATATGCTCGAGGTTCGGTGTTAGTTACACTAATTGTTCTAACCTTGACCACTTTTTTGAGTTGTTTAATGAATCGGAAATCAGTGCCACCAAACTGGGTTGTTTCAATCAATGATCTTGTGTTAAAAAGCCGTGGTAAATTTATAGTGATACCTCGGTGGGAAGCTGATCTAAAAGGGATTGCAATCTCTGATGATTTGCAAAGAAAGGTTATAGAACATTGGACTGATTTTGCGAATATAATTAACAGTGTTTTTTGTATATCATTAATTATGTTTTATATTATTTGCATATCCCTTTATATGCCGCGGCCATCTCTTTCGACTAATTATGTTAATTTGACAGATTCTGATGCATTCTTTATGGATCAATTTTAAGTTGATGATTGTAGAATATAGATTTTAAAGTCTCTGTAATTGGATACATGTTTTTTTTTTATAAGTAAATAACTAACATATAACCCGTCTGCGTTACCATTACAAAGCGCGCTGTCGTACCTGTAAAAATTAAATTTTATGTACGTATTACATTATTCAAAGATAATTTTTAAAATGCTCTTATACGGAACTGCAATTCAGTTCATTATGTTCAAGATGCAATAAAAAGGAAAAAAAAATTTTAAATGTTTAATTTATAAAAATAAGAACCTTCTATAACAAACCTATTTTAATTATGAGTATTAAACTATTATGTCCCTTTCTCTAAAATTAGTAATTTAACTAAAAAGAAACGAACAAAATACTTCCAATAGTTAAAATAGGTTTAAAATAAGTTCGAAATCTTTAAAAATTTTAAAATATAAATAGAAAGAATTGCAGTTATTTTTAAATAATAGTTTATATTTGAAAATTGTTTTGTGGTTAATATTTTAGAGAAATAAAACTACACTTTTAAATGATTCTAAATATAGATATATTCATTGTAAATGTAATTAATTAATCAGAAATAAGTATATATCAACTAATAAGTTCATATAAAATAAATGTTGCCAGAGACATATCATGCTTTTGTTGTTAGATAATTAATTTTTTGTTACCCCACTTTCCGAGTTACCTACATCTCTCAACGTCTGTCACTGAAATGGAAAAACAAAAATTGTGGTCTTCCCCGGCTGTCTTGAACCCTTCTTTTGCCATGAAAAAACAAAAATATTGTCTATTTCCCTCTGAGACGCGGTCATTTATTATCTGTGAGGCAGTGACACCTGGTTGCCCACAGATAATGTTAAATGAATAGCACTTTCGAGCTAGATAAGGTGACTCTTTGAATCATGTTTGTTTTTGGTAATTTAATAGGGAGTTAGAAAAGTTGTTCACAAAGCTATGTGTCCTAGTTCAACAAAAATAGCTACTTTACCTAAGATATAAATATATAGTGTGTATTCTTTATTCTTTATTGTACACAAAACATACTGTTAATCACAATTCATTATAAACATAATGTACAAAGGCAAGCTTATCTCTAATAAGAGATTTCTTCCAGCAAACCTTTTCATGTATATTATAATCATAATTTTATGTTATTTGTGTATATATTATTTATTATCTATAGGTATACATTATTAACTGGGTAAAGAGGTTTCTTCAACGCGCGCGTAATACCTCTGGTATTGCAGGTGTTCATAGGCTACGGTAACCACTTACTATCAGGTGGGCCGTATGCTTGTTTGCCACCTCAGTCGTAAAAAAAAATAACTGTTATTTTCTTTATCTGTCCCAATAATGAAATACCGCGTTCGTGATTCACTGTTCATCCCAAAGGTTTATTGGTAAAGAATGCTACTGGCATTAAGTCTACCTTTTGTACCATATTTTCTTTTGGACAATAAAGTCATTTAAATAAAAAGTACGACATAGGTACTAACAGTGCCATCGACAAACATCATAATGATCGTTTTTTAACAATCCATTTACACTATCGAGTGTGGGTCTCTCCTTGAAGAAAATTTCAAACTTAGTGGTCACACTAGTCAGGGATAGGGAAATATACCGAGCTTCCTGGTTACTTGAAATAAATATTTTAAGTTTTCCTTCACTTGCACCAGAGGGAGACTTTGTACAAAAGTCGATTGCTTGGGTACCTCTGTCCCATTCATGTTTCAACCGTGAAGCAGTTGTGTTTGCATGGCTGTGTTTCAATTTGAACGGTGATATATGGCGTGAATTTACAGGGTACAGAGGAATAACACCTGATTCTTCAGGAATGGCAACGCATGGGGGGTATCATGGGCAAAACTACTACTCTGTTTTATCCATGGTACTGCTCATGTCTATAGGCGACGGTTACCACTTTCCATCAGGTGAGCCGTCAGCTTGTTTGCCATTCTAAACTGTATAAAAAAAAAAAAACTAAACTTTTGCATTCGAAGGAGAGAACCAAGAACTGCTACATAAACCAGAATAAATTTCATATTTTACTGCTGGATATAGGTTATCATGCTCTACCCCGCTATATCTCTTAACAATTTTTAGTCTACCAACTATTACTACTCTATGGTCTCTATCCTTCTTAGCTATTACTTTGCGTATAACAATACCATTTCCCAATATTCCAAAACGATACGTCGTACATACCTCAGCTGTCGCAACAGAACAATTCTCTGAATCTATATACGAACAAAGATTGAATGATCAGCAAAACAATAAGCTTTAATAAGTGTTCCCTCGAAATTATACTGAACCAAGATTGCCATTGCCAAAAGTCAAAAAGACAAAACGTGAAGCTGATAACCAACCTCTAGTTATGGGGATCAGAAGAACAGGAATCAAGGCTCAAAGTTTTTTCTTATTTTTCAATTTACATTGCGGTACAACGTTAAGAATAAGAATTTGTTCTTATAGTAGGACACCCCAAAATAATAGAACACTTAAAGAAATTACTCACTTATGAAAACTATGGTGATATTACAATATACAGTAGTGTGCTCCTGGTATAGAATGGATCGCCTGTTCTCTTCCCAGGGTGTCGTAAGAGGCGGCTAAGGAAACTTAATAGTCAAAGGAATAGACAGCAGCGTCCTTATAATCACCAAAGCCTAACTGCGTTTGCCAACCGCTTGCCAAGCAAGGCAACTACTGGCAAAACCCCCCTTATAGGTGAGACTTATGTTCAGCAGTGGACAGTTGACGTCTAATATGACGATGATGATAATTATTATATACAGGCGAAAGTTGCCAGAAGGAGATTTTGTACAAAAGTCGTTTGCTTGAGTACCTTTGTTCCATTCAAGTTTCTACCGTGAAGCAGCTGTGTTTGCATGGCTGTGTTTCGGTTTCAAGGGTGGGATATGGCAGTGAATTTACAGGGTACAGAGGAATAACAGCAGAGTTCTCAGAAATAGCATCGCATGGGGGGTATCATGGGTGAAACAGTAAATTTTGTTATGTCCATGTTACTGCTCATGTCTATAGACGACGGCTACCACTTTCCATCAGGTGGGCCGTCAGCTTGTTTGCCGTTCTAAATTGCATAAAAAAATTACTCTTCGTCTAGTATACCATCAGCTGGATTAGGATTTTCGACAACAAAAAAATATATTTTCGCTATTTTTCTGCTAACTCTATGAAACTAAAACAGGGGCAGTTTGTGCCAGGTATTTAGATAAGGGTAAACATATTGCAACTGCGATTTACATAATACTATTTATGTAGAACGGTTGCGAATGCGGCCCTTATCACTGATTTTTTCGATTACAGACCAAAAGGTTAGAACTATTATCGTTCCTCGCTTAACTTACCCTTGAGACATTGCAAAGCCTCTTCTCTGATGTTTTTATTGCAACCCCCCCCCCCCCCCCGGGTTCTTATTCTTAGACATAATAATAAATATTCTTCGTTTTTATCAACTATATAAAGTAACTATTTAAGTAAACTAGATAAAGAAAACAGTAAATCAAGTTTTATTTCTTTTAGCTTCATTTAAAGTTAAAGTTAAATTCGATAAGGAAAATTATTAGGAAAAGAGATTCACAAAAGGCTAAGTTTACTGTAATGAGATTTTTTTTATAACATAGAGAACAAACGAGCATGCAACTCACCTGATGATAAAAGTCTACCGCGGCCCATAGACACTGGCAACATCAAAGAAATTGCTGGTGTGTTAGCGCCCTTTTGGGTAGAAATATGCTTTTTTTCTAAATGGTTTATTTTTCTGAAAATACTGAACTACTTTTCTTTCAGAAATCCATAAATATGATTTGGTTTAATTTTAGTATTATTTGTACTAGTAATTTTATAAATAAAGATTTCCTCAATTTAAAAAAATACATCGTTATCCATTAACTATTGGAATATGTTGTAGACTGAATATAATTATTTTATCTATGTATGTAGGTCCAAGGAGCCAGAAATAAAATTCCTTCTTTGCACAAGCGATTCAACCTTTATATAATTGCAAAACTAAATTTTAGAAATAATTCGTAGGAGCACACACACCCTCGTTCACTTGCCGTCCATCTTAATCTTTCACTCCCCAACCGTTCCTCTCTTCACTCCACATCAGTCATCATTCCTCGTATTCCAATCTATGCATACAACATTCACTTTTAACATACGTTCCGTTTCATACCAATCCCACATGTATATATATGATGTCTACATTCAAGCAAGTTCTCCCAAATTATAGAACATTTATTTTCAAATATGTGGTACTAAAATGATAAACAAACTGACGGCCCACCTGATAGAAAGTGGTAATCATCACCTATAGATATGAACCAAACTACATTACTACATCACACCCATGGATAACCACTCATGCATTACCATTCCTGCTTAAAGGTATTACCTTTGTACCTTTGCGTGGAACTTAGCAAATGTTTAGAGTAATGTTCCATCATTAATTACATAAACGAAGGAAAAACATTCCACCCTAGTTGGCAGGTGAGAGAAATCTTTAGGCAATAGATAGGGGAGAATTATTACATTCTGTCCGCCATTACGGACCCCACAGTTAGTATTTAATAGCCCTGCAGCTGATTCTGTTTTTTTTTAAGCGAGTTTCCAAAGAAATGTTTCAATTCGTCTGATTTTTTTCTAAATATATTTACATATTTTTACAATAGTTTTTATGATAGATAGGTTTCTATTTCAAATTGATCACATATTAGTATTGTAATGATTGAAGATCTTGCTTCACTTTGCGCAGCAAAAAACTGCTTGCAGAATTTACTACATACTTTGCTTCGTAAATATTCTATGGATATTTAATTCCATGTTCTAAATTTAAATGTATTTAGAGTATCTGTCAACCATGCCTGTGTTGCCAGATTAAATATTCTTTTTGTAATTTTTGATAAAAAATATGTTTGCGATTAAATGGTAAAATAAAATTCTTGTAGAAAGTTAATCTCTCTAGGAAATATTTTTAAACTATTTTTTCTATATTTCGAAGACAGTGGCTTTTATAGGGACTAGAAGTTGAAAAAAAAACCGTTGAAAGGTGCATTAAAATTAGACAAAAGTCGCACTTGCTTAAAATGACCTACGTATTTTTATTAGTAATAATTCGAAAAAAAAGAGATATGATTCTATACTCATGTAGTCGTCTTAGAGACAAGTTATTTTTTTTATAATAATGGAATGGTAACCCTACCTGCGCTATTGGTATACGCCAGCGGGGCACCAGTAAGAGATGATGGGCGATGAATGCAGGTTAGTTAGTATACTGCGCACCGTAACAAATTCCATAAGAATTTACAACGATGGTTTCTAGGGTAAACTACGAGGTAATCGACTTGATAAGCATATTGCTAGCGACGGATCTGTTAAACCCATTACTAACTATCCTTTTTCCTCCACATTTAGTAGGTGCGTTTAATAGATAGTCGGATTAAACTGATGCAATTTAGAAGGAGCCTTGATTTTATTTTCAAGTACCAGTAATAAAAGAGAAGAAAACCTCAAAACTAAACTATATACCAAAACGTGTACCCAAAATTGTAAAAGTAAAATAAAATAATATCCTTTTAATTTTGAAGAGAACACTGAAAAACTATTAAACTGCGTAA